AGCAGCGGACATAGGTAATCCTATGCGGAAAGAAGCAAGGTTGCCACAGCCAGTTGATTGGGGTGATGCTGGTAGCAGCGGGTGGTGGAGGAGTGTTGCCACCAGAAGAGGGTAGCCTTGTAAGGAAACTTGCGGAACCCACGATGTTCACTGGTGAAATGAGCACTATGGTGCCTTTGGAAACCTTCACACAGTTGCGAAGTATTTAGCAACCACCTTCCCACAACAGAAATGGTGTTTGTGTGGGCATCATCGGGATGTTCTCCCTTGGAGTGCAGGGAAGCAAGCTTGTCTTTGATAAGAGTTGTGAGTTGGAGTTGGTTTTAGCACTCAACCGTTGTCCTTGGCAGCACCACGCTTGGAATGCTGGATCGTTTCTATGATGATCAGTAGCTCCACAATCAAAGCAGGCGCCTCCACGAGGGACGGGTACCGCCACTGTCTGATCCACTGTTTCGATTCGCTGAAGTGAGCTCCACACTTTTGCCTCAACTGCTTTAGTCAATTGCTGCCATGGAAGGCTTTGGCCTGGGATCCTTGGATCCAAGATGTTGGCAGGCTCATAAGTTTTTGGTTAATGAGGAGGAACCCGTATAGAGGTCATCCAGGTCATTCAAAGTGTCGAGTGCTTCCAATTGTTTGTTCCCATAGTTGCTATCAAATCCGTGATGTCACTCTTGACAACAAGCTCATGACTTTGCGATCGAAAAGTATGGACAACCACAGCCAGGAGACCCCTCAAGGATGATGCTGGTTAGTTCAGGCATGGATCACTGGACATAAGTTCAATCGAATCTCTTTGATGATCTTGCTTGCATCGACAACATACAATGAACATTCTCCCCAGGGAACTTGGGTGATGTCCAAGTAAGTAGCTTTGGCTTTTAGGGTTTAATCTTGCTGAGAGAAGTACTGTATATTTTCTGCATGAGAGCCAAGAGAAGTTGGGGCCCATTGTGTTTGGCTCGAGGAACATTATGATTTCAATTCTTCCTGAGAGTGACATACACTGACAGAGAGTTCAAAAGACAGCCTTTCCCGACCAGGCATGGCGTTAAGGTTGGTTAGATATACTTGGCCAAACGGATGTTTCTGCAGATCCCACTTTGGCATCAATGAGTCTGACCCATTGACTGTGAGGTCCTGATGCATTTTTCCATCATAGACTCTGAGACCTGTCCAGGAGCAGTGAACATGTTGATTTTTTTATAGTGTTAGTATTAAGCGTCTCCAACAACAAGCTGGGAAGACCCCTTCCATTACACTGCTCAGTCATCATACTCACAAAGGCGATAAGAGACGTAGACACATGAGACCCAGAAGCATTGGACTCAGTCGAGTGGGAAATAGTAGACTGGTGGACCTTCAGTCCTTTCTTGCTTGCAATTCAGATAGGCTGGAGTGTGGTGTGATGTTTCAGTGGTCGTCACCATGGAAACCCCTGAGGCATAGGGTGCTTTGAGGTTCCTTTCCCAGTCCATATAGCCAGATCCTGTCCGGGCTCCAGTTGTGGTTGATACCTCCAAGCGAGGGGCTTCTGTAAGCTTGGTCTTCTCTTTGGTTTTCCCAATGTGCTGGAGGAGCTCCTGGATTGAACTGCGTCAATGGTGCTGCAGTCATGGTTGGAGGATCAGATGTGGGATGATTGGATCAGATTCAAAGAAGGCTTGTCTTGATGCCTTGTGGACTGAACAGAAGATGTGGTGCTGGTGCCGCTGTTGTTGAAGATGAAGATGCTGAGGCAGGAGGAAGCGTCGTCAAGGTCCTCAATATAGATGATGGAATTGGAGGCAGTGAAATCAACAAGGTCAACAGTGCGGCAATGGCAACAAGAGCAATGGCAACAAGAGGAGGCAGGCGCGTGGATATCCAGTCAATCGAGTCAATCGAAGATGGAATTTATGAGCTTTCCAACACTTCGAGTTGCTTGAATCGCTCGTTTCAATAGCAATCAATCGCTCCGTACCTCTCGGATTTGACCTCTCGTAAGGAGCGATTGATTGCTCGTTCAAACGACAAACTGCAAGCCAAACCAAACGACCAATGCCGTCCTGGGTAAGCAGAGACCAACTGCGATTGATCAACAACAACACGAGCGATCGCGATGGATCTTCGTTCCGTGTGGGTCTCCGTGTTGTTGTTGTTTGAGTTAATGAAAAAGTGAGGAGTTTTCTTCGAAGATATAAGGCAAGCATGACTCAGCCAATTCGAATCGATAATAAAGACCCTCGAAGCATGATTCAAGGCATGACACACAAGCCGAGCCTTCCATATGCAGTCGGAGCTCATTTTTCGATGAATTCTGTTAACTTGACGGCCGATCGATCGATCCATGCTCAAGCTGAGCATGTCCAAGCTTCGCCGGTGATAGAGATAACAGTAGTATCAGTACAGTAACAGTAGTAACAGTAGTGGCTCCTGCAGCGATCGATTGATCGTATTGGATAATAGGATCCTCATGAGATTACGATCGTCAATAGGATTAAGAACAAGGGGACTGCTTTTGAGCAAAATCCAAGATATAGGATGATCCTCACTGAGATTACGATCGTCAAATAGGAGTAAGAACAAGGGGATTGCTTTCGAGCGAATCCAAGGGAAGTGAGTTGCAATAAAGGAGAAGGACTATCGATAAGAATGCAAGAGGAAACTCATCAGGAGCAATCTGCATCAAGGAGTAGCACATTCCATTGACAACCATAGGGGATAGACATATAAAAAATAGAATGAGTAACATCTCATAACCTCGCATGCTACCATGCGACAATACCATTGTGCATTGATTAATCTAACGATCTAAGAGATGTAAAGTTTGTATTTCCAAATAAGTGAGCAGTTATTGATTATTTTCTAGAATAAGCCTGCTAATTGTAAAGCTGTAAAGCTGAATTGTAAGCTGTATCCCGTCGCAACCAATGGCACCACATACATGAGCCACCCCGACCGTACGGTACCGTGTTAGAAAGAGCCAAGCCCGTCCTTGCTTGCCGGTATGATCCTGTAGTTTTACTCCCGAGGAAGTGGAGTACACCGCTACATGCCAGTTATTTTTATTATAGCCGCACGACCCGTGCCTTGAAGCCATTGGATAAATGTGGTTTTGATAGTATGTAGTATGCTTCAAGATTGTTTTTGTGATTTGCTTGGCTCTTCAGAACTGGGCAGTGGCGTGTTCAAGGTGGATTTCATCCAAGACTGGAGTGGCCTGCATTGTTGGTTCAAGCCGAACCGTTTCCAGAGATTTATGGATTAGTGTCATGTGCTTCTCTTCTTATTTAATAGATCGTCCTCACCAGAACACTTTTCAAAGTGTACCGGTTGCAATCAGACGTGGATTTTGGGAACCCTCACCAAGCACTCGGATCTTTGGTGAGATCGTGTCAATATGTACTGTAATGAATGAACCGGTGCACTTTTTTGAACTTCTAAAACAAAGCAACCATTTTATTTTGTCTCTGGCTATCACAGCAGCATGTCTGGTGTCCCCAATCCTTACGGCGGTCGTCGACAAGACGTTGATGATGATGATGTAGGTGCTGACCGAAGTCACACATTAAGCTTGGCGAGTTCTCAATTCGATTCACCGACTGTAGTGCACAGCAATTATTCTCCACGCGACAGTTATGGGTTGCCTGGTCCATCGTTGGAATCGGGTAGCAGCACCACTGGCAATTGGCTGCGCATGGACGATGGCCTATTGGACGATTCCTCTCGCGATTTACCGTCTTATCAGGAACTTTGTAGTGTGGAGCAAAAGCCACCTCCACCTCCACGAGGCCAAGAACCCCCCGCCAGTAAAAACGACGAAGCCACGAGCGTCTTGTCGACGGACCACCACGACTACACTCCCAGCTTTTATAGTACGGGATCGTCGGGTCGATACGAACCTCCGGCTACCAAGGAAGAATCGGGCAGTGTCTTGTCGACGGATTTGAATTTTGGTTTTAATAATAACAACAACCACCATAACAACAACAATTATGGAATCAGTGGTGGCACCAATAGCAACAATAGCAGTGTCGTGGCCACATCCAACAGTGTCACCATGAGCGGTGACAGTGGCATTCGAGGCAGTCAAATTGCCGCCAATAATTCGGGATCTGGAATTGGTTCTACCCATACCTCAGCAGGAGAAAGCAGCACGCTGAGCAGCAGTCAATTATCGGCACCGCAACCCAACGACGACAAATCCATTTTCGTGCCTCCCATGGGATCCAGTATTCTTCCTACTTATCAGCATCATCATCAAAAGAGCCATAACTACAGTAATACGGAAGGCACCACCATTGTTCGCAACAACAAGACGGTGCCACCGATTGCCGAAGAAGATTATCCAAATAATCATTACGACAGGAGTGTCGCTGCCCGGCCCGTCGAATCCATGATCGAAAAAGACGTCGCGAACGAAATGGATGAAGGACAACAACGAAAAATGGCAACCATGATTCGAATCATGTACGTGGCCGTGGCGTTGGTCGTCATTATTGGGATCATTGTGGTCGTCGTTGTGGTCACCACTGGCGGCAACGACAGCAGCAACGCCACTACTGAAGCCATGGCAAATGGCGAACCCCTATCGGCGGCGACTGCCGTGACAATGGTGCCGACCGCAGCGACAACGGCACCGACTGGCTTGGACGATAGTATTGGGGATTTGGATGAAGGTGTTTTATCCCCGACGACGTTGGCTCCGATTGTACCATCCGAAAACGAGACACCGACAACCACGAGCCCAACGGCAGGAATAATGGCCACTCCTGTGCCGACCCCAATGCCTACGGAAAAACCAACAATTCTCGTTACCACCACGACTCCAACCGTTGCCACCACGACACCAACCATTGCCACGGAAATACCTACATTGAGTGTCACATCCAACAGCCCAAGTTTCGCAACGTTCGCCGATGGGGTGGACTTTACAGCACCAAACGACGGAGATCCCATTACGATTCCGAACCCAGATGAAAATGCCTTCGAGGAAGTGGTAACGACCAATACACCTGCGACGACAAACACACCAACAAGCGTCCTGACAACAATCACACAAGCACCGACAGGAGCCCCATCGACCAACCCGTTCGTTCCCGTCCCCACTATTAATCCGGTCACAGACCTGCCTGCAATCTTCACCCAACCGCCAGTCATTGATCCTTCTTTGGATACATCCCTACCTCTTCCCTTTCCCTCTACGACGGGTCCTTCGCCGGCTGGTTCAGAGCTGGATATAATAGCGCCTCATGTCGATCCGAACGTGCATCTATCGCCTGTAACGCTACAACCAACACCACAACCCACACCAGCATTGACAACAACAACAATGGAATCTGGTGGTATGAGTGCCACACCGTATCCCACAACACCAGCAGCACTAGTAACCCCATCACCCTCATTGGTTGGGATCCTCCCAGACTACACCCTCAAATCGCTAGACGAACCAAATTCACCCCAGTCGTTGGCTTTGCTTTGGGTGCAAGGTCTCCCAGAATACGAGAATTTTAGTGATGCCAGAAGGCTGCAGCTATTTGCTCTGACCACTTTTTACATTTCCTTTCAAGGTGAGGAATGGACCTCAGAATTCGATTGGAATCTGGAAGCCGTCGGTGATGGAGAGTGTTTTTGGTCGGAACATGTGGCTTGCAATGCGAGTGGTTTCTACACGGTTCTCGAGTTGGATGACCAGAATCTTCCAGAGGCGACAATGCCTCCGGAGATTGCCTTGTTGGAGGCACTAGAACGATTGGTGATTAAAAACTCTGAATTGACCGAATCTTTCGACGGTATCATACCCTGGGAGCTCGCAACGAAATCACCTGTTACGTTAAGGGAAATCAATATTGGCAACAGTCGGATCACTGGCTTTGTCCCGAACTACATTGACATGTTCAGTGATACACTGGAAGTGATCCTTGCATCGAGTAATCTGCTTGTTGGCGATTTGCCTTGGCCCCAGATCTCAGCTCTATCACACCTGAAGACGCTCGCCTTGCGGAAGAATAACATTGGAGGCACCCTCAGCAGCCTGATTGGCAGATTGGCAACAAATCTGGACAACATCAATCTGGGTGAAAATCAATTGCAGGGATCCATACCAAGTGAGATTGGCAATCTGCGCTTGAATCGTCTATTTCTGGACCACAACAATCTTCAGGGGACCATTCCCACAGAGATCGGGAGACTGGCCACAATTCGACCTCAGGAATACCCCAATACTATTGCTCTAGGGGCAAATGCACTACTTGGTGCGATTCCTTCTGAGATTGGGATGGTTTCTCGTTTGCAAATTTTGGATTTGAACAACAATACTCTAATGGGTGGGCCTCTACCTTCAGAGGTTGGAGCATTGGGATGGCTACAGGAGCTTCATTTGCAGAACATTGGGCTTACTGGCACTATCCCAACTGACTTTGGAGCGCTGGTGAATCTAGAAGAGCTCGATTTGTCCGGCAATCCTGGGTTGATAGGTGTTGTTCCGGTGCAGCTAGCGGCCTTGATTTCACTTCGCAGTCTGTACCTGAACGGGACCAGCATAGAGGAAGTACCTAGCTGGGTCTGCAACGGCCTGCAGACCTTGGATTCCTTGTTTGTGACATGTGCAACGACTCTCTGTGGGAACACTTGTTATACATGTCAATGTATAGAACACTTGTGATGCATGTCAATGTATGGATTAGGCTCTGGTGTCATGATAAAATGGCATCCAATAATGTAAAACTATTAGCGTTTCTATTCTTGGAAGATCGAGTTCGAATCAAATCAAGCCTGCCTTTGGTTTCCTGGCTGTCTACGAAGCCGTTAGGATCTGCCCGTGATGTTGCGTTATGCCTCCTCAAAGCTCACTTCAATCTGCGTCATTTCGTATCCCTCCGCCGTGAAGTCGGCATCGACAAACATCGGCGAGGCCAAAATGTTCCCTCCGTTTTACCAGGGTGGGATGTCACAACACATTTCTCCGCAATTCCAGCCAGTGCCAGCAGCCATCCGGCCGAGGGGCCGTGTTGGCGGGAAATTCTTCATCACTGCTCGATCGACGGCTCCGTCAGCGGCATCAAAGGCAGAATTCAATGGTCCTGCATTGCCGTCTGCCGTCTTAAGCTGGTTCACCACGGTCGTAAAGATCAAAGGTCCGTGGATTCCAATCCACACCGGTGTGTTACACGTTTCAAGGTCTGGAGCCAGGTTGGTTACAGTAATTGTTCCCTTGTAGGAGAGACTGTTCTTGGCGTTTCCATTGGCATTACCCATTCCCTGGAAACAGACTGGAGCAGCCATTGCAAGAGATGCAAGCGCGGTGAAAGCGTTGTTGAATTTCATGCTGACGAGGGATGAGGTCTGAAGTCATTTCTAGGGTTGCTGGAAGAGCGCAGTTGTTTTTATTTGAGGAAGGGAATTCTCATTTGGTTTTTCTTCACCGGTAGCTTATGGTTGGTGGTGGCTACGTGGTCGAGCGTGTGAAGCAAACAATCGAACATGAACATCTCAGGCAGATGGGCTTCGAATCAATATAAAACGCAAGGTTGGGTGTCATTCATCTTACAAAGATGCTACTTGCGCACATGCGATTTCGGAACAATGCATCGGAGGCAGCGTCGATGAAACCAACCAGTGGCTTGCAAGAGTCGATTGCAGCCTTCAAGCGGAGAGGTTCACACGGCGATCTTTGGATCTTCGACATTGAGTTTTGTTGCTCGAGGAAAGTTGGGGTTTGGCACTCCGTCCCGTATTTTCCCAACGGTACGATGGATCTTTATCACCAATCACCAATCACGAGGAGACTATGGCTGTATGGCACTATCTATTCAAGATTGTTGGTTACTAGTTAGAATTCAATCGAGCTAGCTAGCACCAAGTGTTGCAATCGGATCAATAAGAAGGAGCAATCAAGAGTGCCATGTGAGGGTTTTACAACAGCTTCCACCGCTGGAGCTCCTGAATCTCCAGCAGTGTGTAGTATCCACTTATCCTTGGAGCTCGGGCAACCTCATTTGCCTCCACGGTCAGACCACACGTCAAACTTGGTGAGCTGACCGTGGAAACTCGAATGATGAATGATCAATCGAATCGAATGATTGATAGAATCGAATGATTCAATCCAATGCATGCTGAAGAAAATAATGATGATGTTTTCACCGTCGCTGCCTGGCAAGCTAGTAGGTGGATCCCAATCGCACATTCTTTTCCACTATTAATATCTCATTTGCTACCTTCTCGCCTTCTCGTTTGCAATTGCGGTCTCTTACTTTTTGCTGGTCATGGTCCAACTCAAGAAGACCTTAAAAAGGCTATGGCACTCTTTAGGAGGCGTGCTTCGCTCATGGTGGCCATGAATATGGTGCCCTCCCCTTGTAGAGCTTATAGAAAAATTTGCTGTGGGCTGCGTTCGTGAGGAAGTGACGTCCAGCAGGAGCGAGAGAGTATGTGTTCTGCTGTCCGACAGCAGGGCAGTGTAGCAACTATCGGCTCGGAATGCCCCCGGCCTGACTGAGTCACTCCTCTGGGATCGTCGGTGTGGCGGTGTAAGGTGCAAGGGCTGCCAGTGCGGGTACACCACCAACATAGGATTCTTCGCCACTTACTTGCTTTCTCCGGTGATTCTGGGGTTCCCAAACATCTTGATTTCCAATTTCCAGAACGCAATTTGGTGGTCTTGGGTCTTGGGGATCTTGGGACCCACCAACCACAGCGTACGGTACACTTTGCGAATTCACCTTTGATGAGCTCAGTCCCATCGGCCATTAAGCAAAGGTCTACTAGTACCGCTACCGTAGACCGTACCGGTAGATGCTGAGAGTACTCGGAGTACATGAGTGAGTAGCTCTTGAGCGTAACATGTTACTTCGTTTGCAGGACTTCTTAAAAATTGCAATGTGCCGTTCCATCATTTTTACGTTGGTGAGAAAGAGAGTGGTCGTCTGAGGCCGCCATTAATTAAATAACCAGTCCCCTGTTTCAATTTCCAGCAAAAACTCACCACTCAAACCAGCATGCATGAATGGTAACATTTATTTTATGAGCCTTGCGACCACTCCAGTAGCACTGTACCACTGTCGGTTTCAGTGGAGAATCGCTGTTGGTTTTAGGTCGCTTTTTGAGTTTGTCTTTGCCTTCCTTTCTGCTTCCTAATTCAAATGAATCTTCAATCTATTAGTTCCTTTTGCGATGGCTCACAATTGAGCAACAGAGCAAAGAGACTGAGACTCTGTGCTGCGCTCGTCCACGGAACACATTATGTTCCTCACTGCAATGAATCCTCCAATCCAGAGATCGAATGGCATTCCAATTGATGGTATGGGCATCATCTCGAGACCAGCCACACGGAGAATTCGTCAAATATCCTTGTGTTCTAAGAATAACGACGACAAAGTTACATGTATGGTGTATGGAAGTCCAGTCTATGTGGGTCCTGATCCTGTCCTGAAGAAGTCCAAAAATGATCTGCGCAGAAGACCCATGAAGAAGAAGGAAGCGAAGGTACTCCCTAAGCGTGCTTCCAAGACCTGCTTGCAACCTTGGACTAGAAAAAGCAGCCGCACCAAGATGAATATCTCTTCCAGGAACAGGAGAGGCAGTCTCACGAAGATCTCGGATACCCCCAAAGTCCCTTGCCGCAAACCAAGTAACCATTTCTTGAGGGAAGGCTTCGAGGCACATGGTGACTTGAATCCAGGTAGATCATACAACATCACAACACGGTCCCGGTCTCGACTAATAATGGCTAGCAACGTGATGGATTCTCATCCAAGGGCACCCAGCCGCAAGGAAAGCATTCCCTCAAATCTCCAAACGACAGCATCAGATGAGGCACCTGGTATTCCTCAACGCAAGGCAAGCAATCCTTTCTTGCAAGGAGGTTTAGTGTCCCATCACGGTCCAATGACAAGATCACGGTCCAAGCTTCAGTTTCGTCATTCGCTGAGATCGCCCAAAGCTCCAACCCCAAAGGATAGTATTCCAGAGTTCCAAATGGCAGAGGCGCCATCTCTACCCCAACACAAGGGAGTTGCTCATGGTGGTACCATGACAAGATCACGGTCCAAGCTTCAAATTAGGCACTCTCTGGGGTTAAACAATGTTCCGATTCCAAATGAGAGCATTCCAGAATTCCAACTGACACAGGCACCTTGGATGCCGCACCCATGCAAGGCAAGCAATCCCTTTTTGCGAGGCGGATTGGTCATCGAGCGAAGCGTACCTTGCCCTGCAACTCAGGGTCTGCAGAAATACCTTCAAGCAGCTCCACAAGCACGAAACAGCAACAAGAACAAGATTCAGCCCAGCCTAGGAGTATGCAAGACAGTAAGCGTACGAGATCTTGAATTTGACAAATTGAGTTTGAACCCTTCTGTCTCTATTTCCCAGGTGAACAGGGGCCCTGCTTCGGCTTGATCAAGATGCATCATCAAATCCTTCACTAGAAAACGAAATTAGATAAAAATTTCTCTTTGCAATATGACTGCGTATTCTTTGCGACTCTTATCTCGATTATTGCATGGTACCGTATGTCGACATCTGCGGCAGTAGCTGGAGAGAGCACTACTCTGAGTAGTGCTCGTTTGTTTCTTCTGTTTGTTTTGACACTGCTGTTTTCTTCTTCTGGGAGTGCTATTAGATTAGGTCCAAATCCTTCGCGACAGAATCAACGATCAAACCGCACTGATGCAGGACTTGAATGCCAATCCAAATCCAGCAGCAAATGCAGCAACTTGCAGCTGCTATGCGGCAATGGCAGTACCAAGCAAAATGAACAAGCTATCCATTGGCAGCAGCAGCCACCCCCAGCTCATTTTCAACATTGATGATATCGAATGCCATCTACCAAGGTGTTGCTCCCTGGTATATGACTCTGGACGATACCGGTAGGCAAACTAGCATGATGGATGATCGCCCCGCAAGGATTTCCAAGAATCAGTTGGGGATGTTTGGCAGCAGTGGCAGCAATGCATCATCGTATTTTTGTAAGGCAACAAACCAGTCTGGTTGTGAAGAGTTGGATTACACTATCAATTGAGAGATCTAGTGGATTCTGGACACTCCGCTGCCTCCGCAATTGCTGCCATTGAGAAGCACTATGTTGGGGTTTGGTGATCTCTGCTGCCTGCTGACGTCAAGCGCCCATGCTGAGATTGGTACCCTTCCAGCAGAACTCCAAATCAAGGGTACCGGCTCTGAGGATTAGGAATCTACGAGTTGCTTAGTTTACATGCTCAATAGTCAGATGGATTGTTACATTGGACATCTATTTCGCAAGTCTTCACTCCGATTTGGGAAAATACGAGAAATACAGGTGCGGATTGGAAGATTGGGCGGTACAGGTACAGGTACTGGTACTGGTACTGGTACTGGTACTGTTCTGACGGCCTACCGGTAGCTAGCTACCGGCAGTGCTACCGGTAGCAGTAGTGGCGACAATACACCTATAGAGGGGAGTCTCCTAAATTCAAGAAGACCATTGGTAGAAGCCACTTCCAATGACGGCAACGGGATGTTCATTGTTGCTGCCGATGCGAGCTATTTTCTGGACTCCTGATAACGGTACATGTATAACGGTCCTGTCGCTGGTGTTGTCAGACGGTGGTAGAAGTATGTCGGATAGAGCTGTTTTCTGTTTTAGGCAGGGCGCAACCAGAAATGCCCCTACTTAGCATAGAAAAGCCCGATCTTTTTATCCTTGAGTGTGGAGCGTTATATCTTTGAGTGTAAATAAATAAATCTTGAAACCAATGAGACTTGGTGCCTTCCTGGAAGCTCTTGGATGACCCGATGACCCCCTACTGAGTAATACCTACTGTACATGTACTTGTAGTAGATAAAACAAGTGAAGCAGCACGAGAAGATTACTTAAGCAATGTTACAAACTGATTGCAGTGGCTTTTAATTATGGGCTATAGCTGTGGCGTACATGAGCCAGGGGCGATTAGAAGGAGGCAGCATCTATTGCTCCATTTCGCTATTTTGCTTACGTACAAGATCTCAATTATTGCAGGGTTGTACTAAGTTTCGATAGTCGGTGCCAGGAGCTGTGCCAAGGTGCCAAGTGCTGTTTCTTCAATCTGCTTCAATTTGAGGATGCATTCTACAGGACATTATTTAAACATTTACCGGTTTCTTCTTACACCTTTCAGAAAGAAATCAGCTGAGAAATCATTGGTGCCTATCACAACGTTGGTGGTGGGAGACAGGTTTAGAGGTTTAGCGCTGGTTTAGCGAGGGTTGGAATCGCCCAGTACAACGAGTACGATGTACCAGCTCTCTCGCTGGTCGCTGGGTACGCTGGGGCATAAGGTGATGTCATTGTCCTTGAGATGTCTTTGTGCCCATAATTCTGACGGGACCAACCTTAAACGCTCCAGTGCTATCATGTTTCAGCTAGATTCAACTTTATTACTAGTACGAGAGCTACGAGCATCCATGTCCCCCACCCATGTGGCATGCCACGTCCTTTTTGTGGGTAGCGTTGGCAGCAAGCAAAGGTCCCTTTTGAGGTTGGTCTTCTTTGCTTTCTGCTGAATTCGCATGGAGGAACGCTGCACAAAGAATGGAGTTTACTGACTGCCTTTTGTAAACCACGGCACACAGCACACAACTAACTGAGCTCTCGTCGACGGTACATCACATCACTGCAATAATGAATCCTCCCTTCCATAGATTCAATGCTACATGTATTACAATGGATGGTTCCGGCCTCATCTCGAGACCAGCCACACGGAGAATTCGTCGAATATCCTTGTGTACTAAGAATACCAACACTAGTAGTGATGAGGATGAAGATACATTCATGGAATATGGAAGCCCAGTCTATGTGGGCGCTGATCCTGTCATGAAGAAGTCTACAAGAGATCTACGCAACAAGAAGAAGAAGAAGAAGGAAGAGAAGGTAATCCCCAAGCGTGCCTCAAAGTCCTGCCTGCAACCTCGAACGAGAAAAAGCGCTGTCACCAAGATCTCGATCTCGGATACCCCCAAAGTACCGTGCCGCAAACCAAGTAACCCTTCCTTCGGGGACAGCTCGGTGTCACATGGCGACTTGAATACGAGTGGATCATACGTCGTCATGACAAGATCGCGGTCTAGACAAACAATGGATTCTCATCCAAGGGAACCCAGCCGCAAGGACAGCATTCCCTCCAATCTCCAAGCGGCAGCATCTGTACCAGGCGAGGCACCTTGTATGCCTCAACGCAAGGCCAGCAATCCTTTCTTCCAAGGACTATCCCAGCAAGGACGTCCCATGACACGATCACTGTCCAAACTTCAATTGAGCTTTTCGCTGAGTGCACCCAGTCCTCCGACCCGAAAGAAGAGTATTCCAGAGTTCCAAATGACACAGATGGCACCATCTTTGCCCCAACGCCAGGCAAGCTTCTTAGAAGGAGGTCTACTAGACTCTTGTAGTGGTACTGGTAGTGATGGTCCCATGACACGATCTCGGTCCAAGCTTCAAATGGGGCACTCTCATCTGGGGGCACCCAATGTTCCAACTCGAAAGGAGAGCATTCCAGAATTCCAAATGATGCAACCTGCGATGCCGCCCCAACGCAAGGCAAGCGATCCTTTCATGCGAGGTGGATTGGTCACTCCCTCCATCCAGCCAAACGTAGCGGTGGCTGGCCCTGCTACTCAGGCTCTTCGCATGTACCTGCAAGCAGACACACCTCCACCACAGCAACAAAGCAACAACAGCAACAACAACGACAACAAGATTCAGCCCAGTCTAGGAGGTCTATACAACAAGACTGTAAGCTTTCGAGATCTTGAATGGGACAAGTTGAGCTTGCTATGAACCCTTTCTCTCTATCAATCGATTTCGCGGGGCGAACCACAAGGGCCCCGCTTCGGCTTGGTGATCAAGATGCATCCTCAAAAGCTTGACTCGCTAGCTAGCTATTAATTTTCTCTTGGCATTATTAATTAATAGTACGTATTTTAAAATTGATATTATGCCATAGTTTTTGCTTTAGTTTCTTCCAAACATGAGGGAATTCAAGGGAAAGAGTCAAGTTAGTTGTTTGTCGTCCCAAGCAAATATTATATAAATCAAGGTTCTCCGCTTCAGCAGCTGCTCTATTTTAGAAAGAAAGTTTGACAGCTTTCGAGAATTTACTACGCTTCCATTAATTCTGCTCTTGCAATGACACTCACTACTATTTAGCTAGCTAGTCTAACTGCTTGCCAGGGCGACGTCCAGCTGTTGGTCTGCACGGATTTTGTATGTTGTACTTGCTCGAGTGCATCGCCCACGATGGCCGCACACGCTTCACCAGGGTCGTCGTTAGATCGTGGTCCGTGGAAAATCAGCGTCTTGGACACCAGATCCTCAATCCCAAAGCGAACAGAGCCGCCTATCTCTGTCTCTCTTTGTCGTGTATCATCGTAAAGAAGGCTACCCACATCTCCCTTTGACTACAATACACTACACTACACTACAATACACTACAATACAATACAATACCATGCTGAACCGCCAACAAGTGCAGTCGTTCATGGCGTTTCTTCCCGACTGGTGTCGCAGCTACGCGGCGTTGCACATGGATACCATTCCCAAGTTGATCAATCATTTGTTGGTATTGATGGGCTTTTGCAATTTCATGATGTTTCTGGGCTCTTGGAGTACCGTGATGCTGCCCGATATGGGATTGAATACTCCTCTGATTGCGTTCTTGTTGTGTTGTCAGAATGCTTGTCTCTGGATGGTATTCCATTCGACCAATAGTGTTCAATATTATTTGCAGCCTACCGAATTCATGGTGGGCAACTGTCTGGGCATTACGATTGGATCGGCCTTGTTGGCCATGGTCTTTTCCAATTATTTCCGCAATATCAGTCGCTGCGATGTGGCGCAAGGACATCCCGTCTTTGAATATTTCTGTGGCAATCCACGACAAAAGGCCAAATTGGCGTCGGTCAGTTTTTGGAGTGGATTGGTCTTTTGGCTGGAATTCTTGGTCTCTATACTCATTGCCATGGGAAAACAAGAATTAATTCAAGTGGGATCCCAAAATACCATGTACGAACATATCGATGGACGATTTTCCGAATACAGCACGCAACAGCAACCACAGCAACACCAACAACAGTCACCACAAGAACCACAATCCTCTGCTGCTGGATTCTTGGGAACCTTTGCCGGGTCTTCCTTTCAAGGATCAGCCTACTCGACCGTGCCAGATATCAATACCAATCCTGCACCATCTGTTGCATCTACTGGTGGCTACCATAATAGTGGAAGCGCCACAAATAATCAGCAGGCAGCATCACCACAATCATCCGCAACTATAAACAATCCACTGGGGAATGTATAGACACCGATGACAGACGACATGAGAAATGACAACGAAATAACTATACCTGAGCACCTATAGCTATCGTCGATTCAATTCAATTCCATTATGAAAGCCTTGGAATTCCCGGACAAGAAAGACACCGAAGTTTGGCCTGACCTATCTTTGCAATCTTCACTACTCAGCGGAGCTAGCTAGTTTACCAGGAGGCAGAGAGTCCTACCTTTTATTCATATTCGCAAATACAGCTCCACTTGAAATGCAACCCTATAATGACAGAATTCATAGATAGATCATCCATCTACAGCTCTGTAACCAATGCTAACACTGCATTCATTTAAAAGCAATTCAAAAAGCTACAGTCCACGCCCAGGCTACAAAATGGCTGAGGAGTAACAGTTGTACTAACTAGGTTGCTGAATGATCAATCTATATTCGTCCAAACAAGACTTTTCCGATACGGCGTCGATACATCTAGTTGATCATACATGTACGTAGTCTTTTCCCAGCGGAGAGAACGGAAGCGAGTTCGATCATTCTTTTCTCGTTCTTCCGCCACACAGAATACATCGTACCCAGAACAACTAGCTAGTCTAGCTAGCTCTTCGATCAAAACGTGGGGACCGCTCTATGAAACAACTAATTTTATCTTTTTTTTTACTATGTGGACAGATTGTGGATTTGAAAAATCAAAACAGTTTGCTTGAAAAAAGGAGGAGGTGAGGGTGTTTTACTTGAACGTTTCGAGGGCGGACCATTTTACCCACACCTAACTAAATTGTAAGGTGCCACAACAAGAGGTGCGGGCAATCCAGCGTGCTAGCTAGTAGCTAGCTAGCTAGAGGGTATCATTCTGCAAAGCGGAATTGCTGCAGTTGTAACATACCCTAGATAGCTAGACCATCACCTGTCTGCAACCTAAGGTTCGTCCTCATTGGATTCCCATGGTTTGAGAATGACCAGTACCACAACAACGGCTGCCACACCAATCACACATGCACCCATCATCAGCAACGTGACCGTCAAGTCTTTTCCTCTCTTGCCCTTGTCAATCACAGTGGTTCCAAAATGGAAGCTGTATTCGCCTTTTTCTTCGTCCTTTTCTTTTGTGTTCTTGGTGTCGGTCGTGCTTTTGATGCTGTTTCTAGTTGTTGTGTGGTTGGTTGTATTAAGGGTATGGCCGGTAGTATTATTAAGGGTATGAGGAGTACCGTTGGTGTTGACGGTGTGGCTGCTGCGAATTGGTAGTTGTTGTTGCTGTTGTTGTTGGTTACGCTGGCTCGGCTGCTGACTCTGTTGTTGGCTGCTACGACTCTCACGGCGTGGCGGTTGGTGATGGCTGCTGCGGTTCAAGCCGTTGTCGTTGTTCAACTCACGAGACGGCTGGTGATGGCTGCTTTGGTGCAAGCTTTCGCTCATCTGGCGAGACGCTTGGAATTGTTGGCTGGACTTCCAGTTCACATCTTCATTGACGAGGATCAAGTCGGGTCCTTCGGATGACGGAGCTGCAAATCCTCCCTGGTGGCAGCTGTAGTAGGCTTCCCCCTCTTGCTCCCAGCCATTCACGGCAATATCGGAAACCACATAGGACTCTTCCCTCTGTGCGGCGGGATCCATGGTTCTATTATACAGTCGTAAATAGAAATGGTATACGGTAGTAGTGCGGTGGCCTACCGGGGATAATGATGTCTTGGGGTATCTCGATCTTCTAAAGAATGGATTTGAATGCTTCTTGGCCTCTCAAGCTAGCTACCGGCACTACTACAGGTAGTAAGAGATGATCACACGTCTTTCTTTCTTCAGTCTCTCTCTCTTTCTTTTACAACAAGATAACAACAGTTACTAATCATTCGATGGGTAACGGCGACTGAGACGCGGAGATGTTGTTGCGGTGTGGTTTGCCACAGTGTGCTATGCAAGACTGCCTGCCTGCCACGCAATCAAGTGTTGAATGTGAGCTGATCCTTACTTGCTTGCGACGTTTCACACACAGCTTTCACACGGAGGTCTAGCAGCATCCAGCAAAAGCACGGTGCCGATACCGGTACAGCACCGAAACCGGTACAGCACTGATGAATTTTTTAACTTCAGGCACTTTTCTTGGCTTTACATAAATAAGAATTGCCCCCAAGCCCTGCAAGCAGCATTCGCGGCAAGCTCACATTAATTCTAGTTCTGTCTCTGTGTACCGGTTGAAAAGGTCCTATTAAGCCTCTGATTCCGTTGCAAACGAGCCTGATCCTCCACTTCTTGCTCCAATTTCAGAACTTTGCTCATCAATCTCGCGTTGGGGATGGTTTGGGCTGACGCAGCGAACGTTCCATCCACCCTTATTAGCTGCTTGAATACGGTATCCGAGAGGTAGCTAGACGTCCACTAGCTAGTAGCTAGGTAGCGTTGCCACCAACTCAAGTTGGGCATGTGCCACTGACGTCGTTCCATTCCCACGCATAATAGTCTATCTAATCCCATAGCCGCCCATACTGCATCGCCACAGAAACAGCTCCTTCCTGGCCAAAACAACCCTCCTGTTCCAAGACGAGAAATCCAGAGATGGAGAGCAAAGACGCCGAGAACAAGAACCAGGGCACAACTAGTATTGAGGATGAAGCCCAGGATACCACTCCGGAAACCAATGAGCACACAGACGCTCATTCAAATGAGAATGAACACAACAGCAGAGAGATCAACGAGCTACCAAAACCAGAATCGGCTACTACCACTAGTATGGATACTAGCGAGGATGAAGTCAAGATGGATACCATCTCAGAAACCAAAGAGCATACAGACTGTCACTCAATAATTGAGAATGAGAGCAATACCCGTAGTGGAGAGAACAACGAGCTATCAAAACCAGAACTGGCATTAGGCATCGCAGCTGGTGATCCATTGACTTCTCCTCATGCTGAGATGGATGGATCAACCACCCAGTCCCACCACAACACATCAGAGCACATAGAGCTCCACACTGTCACAGACCCAGAAAATTTAATAGCAGAAGACGAACATGTACAAATGTTACCCCTGACGTGGAACATCGTGGAAGACGGATTACTGCCCGGCACCTTTGCTGTGGAAGGGCCCAATGTGGGGTTAGAGTTGCCGCACCACGAGGTCGAAGCCTCAAGTACTAGTGAAGTCTCAGATACCAATCACGTTCACGTGGATGTCGCCCACATTGATGATGTTCACATTGATGATGCCCACTTGGTGGATGTGGAAGCCGAAAATGCTACGACAGAGCATGTTGATCATGGAAGCAACACTGAACTTGTTGAGGGCACAGTTATAGGCGGTAGACAACAAGACCATAAAGGCCACTGGATTGGGTGGGTTGCCATACTTGGCTGTGCTGCTGTCCTTGCAGTTGTGTTGATACTTGTCTTCCTTCTGGGGGGGCAGTCCAGTGGGGAACCCACAGAGAGCACGATGAATGCAGACAAACAATTCACTCAAGACCAAGCCATCTCTTATCCACCATTTCATGACAATTTCCCCGAGGTGGTTGCCACAGCCATCTTAGAGGACACTGATAGTCCTTTCTATCATGCAAATCAATGGGTCATGAAGGATCCCAACTTTGACAACTACTCCATGGAACGAAATATACAAAGGTTCTACTTGGCCATGATGTACTATGCTACTAATGGTGACTATTGGCTTGATAATGAGAACTGGCTCAGTTATGAAGTCTCAGAATGCAGTTGGTTCACTAAAAGCACCTTTCCCATATCAAGCAAGTACTACGACACCAATGTCTGTAGCAACAATAACAATACAGTGATCAATTTGAGCTTGGCATCAAACAACTTGACAGGGACGTTCCCAATTTGGTACACTTACTTCATTCCCTCATTGAAAATCCGTGACCTCGGTTACAATCCCATTGCTGGTGCACTGCCACCAATCACTTCCACTCCAAAATTTGAAGTCTTTGTTGTGTCCCAAACCGAATTGGAAGGGGCTCCCATCATGAATGCCGGGGCCTACTTCCCTGCTCTCAAGGTATTGAAGACTGACGGTACCAAAGTCCGTGGAAACAACAATGGGGCTTTGAATTATATTATCCCAAACCTTGAGGTCAACAATATCTCGTTCAACCCTACTCGGGCCCACCTGTTTTCAACCCTGGGGCTCTTGACAAATTTGCAATATCTGGGACAAGCTCACAGAGGCTTTCTGACGGGCACAATTGTAACTGAGATTGGTTTTGCAACGTCTCTGCTTGAAATCGACTGGTCCAGCAATCCCAGACTTGAGGGAACAATTCCATCGGAACTTGGTCAGCTTTCTCACTTGACAAAGCTAGACCTAATGGACACACCTGTCACGGGGAAGGTCCCTATTGAGGTTTGCAAGCTTGTACAAGATGGCCAACTGGAGCTCTTGGTGGACTGTGGTGACCTGCTTCAGTGTTGTACCGACTAAGACCCAGCATTTGGACTGGACAGTATGACATTATTTTTATTCCATGAAAGGTGCAAATGGTATCACCCGTTACGCTGGGAGGACGTTTCGAGGTTTCAGGAGCTTGCCCCTGTCCTTTGCAGCTTAATTGGCTTTTGATGGACAGGAATTTATTAAAGTTGTATGGTTAAGGTAGCTGCGGTAATATTTAAATAATAAACTTTAATGTTTACCCAGATGACTGGTGTTTTCAGACTCCGGCGCTTGCAGCGCATGCAACATGCAACAGCCAACAACTCGAGACTCTAGATCTTCACTCCATCCAAACCCCTTGTTTTTACTGCTGTTGTTCTGTTGTTGCAAGGGTTGCTCGTTGCTGCCGATCTCATCTTGCTAGTTAGCCAGCTTTGTCAACAACCCCCTACTCTAGCTAGATACATCGTGGTTCCTCTTATTATTGCATGGACGATCAACTCCCGTACGCTCCCATCTCCACCATGAGCTCGAAGGATGCTGCCTCTACGGACGAGGTCCCTACCGGTACGGCCGAGGAAGCCAAGCCAGAAGCCAAGCCAGACGAGAAGGCTTCGATTAGCAAGCCTCCTTCGTCTCAAACATCGCTCCAAGAGGATGACGACGAAGAAGAAGACGACGAAGATGAAATGGACGTCAGTGGCGACGATGCCCAGCAATTGTCGGCCAGTCAGTTGAAAAAGCGCTGCCGCAAACGGTGTGGCAAGTGCGAGGCATGCCGTCGTCAAGATTGCGGCGTCTGTCACGAATGCATTCGCAAGAAAAAATTTGGAGGCACCGGCGCCAGCAAACAAGCGTGTATTCATCGACGGTGTCTCGTGCTGAAGGAACTCAAACAAGATCGCAAACGCAGTCGCGCCGCTGGACTCCCCGTGTCGAACACGGAATGGGATGAACTCCTCTTGGCGCCAGCCCCAAAGAAAAAGAGACGACGATCGGGGAATACATCGTCTGCATCCCAACCCGATGGCGTCCCGTCGTCGAGTAGTGTCGTTGGTTGTTTGGAAAAAGATCCCATGGTGACCAAACTCGAAGAGGCATTTCCTCTTCCACCACCTTCCATGTTGGCCATGAATCATGTCAATCCCACGCCAAAAAAGAAAGAGACACCCAGCGCGGCCACGGCTCATTTGCAGGATTACAAGTACGGGCAAAAGTGTCCGTTGCCCGCCAAGGATATTTGTGCCGGCTGTCGTTGCGAAAAACCACCCAGTGGAGGAGACGAGGAGCCCATTATTCTTTTGTGTGATGGACCCGGTTGTGACACCGAATGGCATTTGGAGTGCTGCTTGCCACCCATTGCCGAAGTGCCCAATGGATCCTATTTTTGTGAGTTATATATTACACACATATGTTACATCGTGGCCGCTCTCTTGTCTACCTTTTCGATGTTGAATGCTTCTAATGGACCCTCAACTCTCTCATTTTTTCCTTTCTACCATCACTTAGGCATCGACTGCGACCCCAATGGATCGTCGACTCTCATTGACCAGTATTTTGATCGCATGGAAGAACGACGGGCCAAAGCCATGGAAGAGAAGGATGGAAAAGATCCAAGTGCCTTTTTGCACATGCTCTGGGGCGAAGATCTTGAAGACAATCAAGAAAATTGGAATCCAGACGAATACATCCCCGCCAAAGATGGGCGCGTGCCGCAGTCGGAATTGTCGCGGTTGTTGGATGTGCAGCAGCATTTGGTGGGAGACGACAACGGCAAGTGGGCGCCCAACAAGCCCTGTACGTTTGATGAATTGGCGGGGCTGTTTGTGGGCAAACCAGTGCGTTTGTATTGTCCGCTCGATGACAATTATCACAGTGGAAGGATTGTCGATTATCGACGAGTCCCTCCCAATCTGCATCACATTCACCCCAGCAAGAAATCGGCCAAATCATCCAAGGCAGCGGCATTTCTACCCAATGACGATTTTTTTGCTTCGCAAGTCGAATTTCTGGTGCGATTCAATCCGGGGTCGGGGGACGAATATCGCAAAAAGCTCATTTACAAGTGGTTGCGATTGGAAGAACATTCCCTGGCCGTCGGAACGCATCTCATTTGGGGACGATTTCATCATCCAGGGGCAACTTCTTCGGGAGATCCTCCCGCAAGTCCCAAAAAGGGTCCCGGCGTCGCGGCCCAATCGGGCCCGCAAGCGTCGTGGCAACAGGCGTGCGTCTTTCTTCGGACCAGTCGAGAACTCATGCCCGTATTGCATTTGCTCCAGGAAAAGCTGGGAGAAGTCAACTATCATCCAGCTTCACTCATGGGCAGCAAGAGTAGCAAAAAGAAGGATTCATCGGGTTCCTATGCCATTCCCAAGACACCCAAGAAAACACCTGCCTTTTGTTTGGCCAAACGGTTTGGAGTCACGCAACCCATGGCGCAATCCATTGAGAATCCAGCACTCAGCGGAGAGTCCTACAAAATGCTACACGTGACGGATCAAATACGCGATCTGTATTCCCGAAAACCCAGCAACAGTCATATCGAGCAACTCAAGCACAGTTTGGCATGTGTGGAACACGACGAACAACAAGCAGCGCAACGATGGTGGCAAATGAGACGACGCAAACTGGGTTATTCCGCTCCCAACGCCATGAGAATGAGTGATGAGCACGCGGTGGGGCCCGTCTTGTATAAGAGCGTCCCCGAAGAGAAACCCACCGTGCACGAAAAAGAGTTGTGTCCATTGGTCCGACCCCCTGGTTTGGATCGAGGGCATTTGATGGAACGACTGGTGCGCTGTGGTATGCTAGACGAGGCAACAAAGGATACAGCGGCAGGATTGGAGTGTTGGTTGGTGCCAGAATAAGTAGTGATTTCGGACTGGACTTGAGTGGTGATTGATCATTATTTGTGTCGCGCGTGGCTCGTGTATGAAAAGTTGGTGTTGTGTCGATGTCAAAAAGTAATGAAAGAGACGATAACTGAATTTGTAATGACCAGTGCTATCTCGACACAACGGAGTCGGGCAGGTACTGGTAGCGTGTATCAGATGCCGTGGGAGGGCTTTGGCAAGAAACAGACCCATGCGTGTGTCCACTTCTTTCTACATACTGGTACTTCAGCAAGCATCGTTTTCGTTTTTGTTGTACTCGCGTTTCTTTCTCAAGTTGGACGCAAGGTCATCGCCTTGTGACGGCTCCACACGAGCTGACACCTGGAAAAACTTTAACATACAGTACTTTCGGTAGCAACCTGTACAAGAACTCTTCCCGCTGGCTAGTAGATGAGAATCGCGACGTCCATCAAATCACTTGATTTCCAGCCTCGGGACCTCAAAATAAATCATGCCCGCATGTACTGTAGCCAATTTGTGTCCCTGCCAAAGCCGTCCCCTGCAACAGTGACCAAAAAGCAGCCTACCGGTGTAGTTTGGAGTTGTCTCACTCATGCATTCTTGGCGGCTACTGGAGCAGATGTCTTGATAAACTTTTGTATGTGTTCTTCCCATTTGCGTTGATTGGCCTCCAGAACGGGCAATGGCTGGAACTGTGGCGGCAGTGGCGTTTCTTCTCCACTACTCATCCCCTCTATGGCGGGTCCTCCACAATCTCGGTTCTTTCGAATCAGCTTCCCGTCGGGCGCTTTTTGGGGTGGTTTATAGCATCCCGGTTCGGCAAACAAATGAGCGTGTTGTGGCAATGCCCCCACGGCCGGATTGAAAAAGACGAGCATATTGTATAGATTTTGTGGATTTGGGGGTGCTCCATTGACCGCGGGAGGTCCTTGCATGGCTTCTTGTCGTGCCGTTTCTCGAACTTCAATGGTGAGTTCGGGCATGTACTTGAACCCGTATAGCTCAAACTTGTGGATCCACCAGTCGTCCGTGTGAATTTCGACGTGGTGCCAACCTCCCCAAGTCTACCGTAACAGAAAGGCATTGGTCTCACGTCAGTGTCACAGCGCTGAATTCAAAAGACATCAGGATTGTAATTGCAGAACCTACCGAATGAGTGACAAAGAGCATGGCTGCCTTTCGAAAGACAGGCAGATAATTCTTGTGAAAGTTTCTTCCAACCTACAGAAGCAAAGCAAAACAAGATCATGGTCAATCTGATGGCTGCTCTCCTTGCGTGCACTTTTTATTGATTGATCATGATGGTGACTTACATGTTCTAGGAACTCTACACACCAGACAGCATCATATGTCTTTTGTGGCCAATAGGGTCCTCTGCTAAAATCGTGTTCGACCATTTGCTGTTCTTTGTTGGGCAACACCGAGTTTAGGTAAGCGTCATGGGATCCTTCCACACAGAGTGCATCCATTCCATTCATGAGGAACCATGTGGTACTGATCCCCCGTCCACATCCAACATCAATAATGGAATGGATTCCAAATTTGGTCATCATGTGTCTCCACAAAAACGGCGACAAGCCGTTGATATCAATCTCCGTCCAGCCACCCAAGTGTTGACCATCCCCGTGTCCCCCGTAAATCGAATTCTTTTTGGCTTGTGCCACGGCATTGGCTTGCAGAGCTCGTAAGGAAGGCAGTGGCGCTGCGGATCCCGATTGGGGTCGAAGTGGATCTTGTTCTGTAGAAGAAGTGCCAAAGGACAACAACGACGAGCTCGTGGCAGACAAGGACAAGGGAGCTTCTTGGGCTCCGTAGTTTCGTCCCAATTGGAAAAAGAGCAGATTCAAAAGCACCAAAATGACAATCACACCCGAAGTATTGGAACCAAAGGAGCCACCACCCTTTCGAGGAACATGCTGAACCACCACCATGATGTTGATCAATACTAGAGCTGTACAGTCAATTCAATTCGGTTCAATTCAATCACTGCGACGAATGGATGTCGATGTGGGAAAAGATTTGCTTCTAACGGTCAGAAAAAAGGGTTGGGGATCAAAGGATAAAAGGACCAGCACTCTCCTCACAACAGTACCGGTACTCTCATCACCAGCTACATGTAGCCAGTGGTACTCTGATATTCCAGCAACTGCCGCAGCACGTACATCGAGCTATCGAAGCTCACCAGTCACAAGCTTGAAACTAGCTAGTCTATCTTGGTGCAGTGCCAGTGCAGCTCTTCTGCACATCTGCACCTCTCCTGTTCTCTCCTTGGTTGGAGGGGGAAAATCTGCACATCTACTGGGGGCACCTCCACCTCTGGGGACACACCTCGGGGGCAAACATTTTCTGCACCACTAGGGTGCGGACCTCGGGGGCAATAAATTCTGCACCTCTGTGCATGGGCGCACCTTCCCTCTGCTGGTCTGCTATTACAAGAACTACCATGTTGTGCAGTTGTGTCGAGAGATGGCATTATTATAGACGTCATGAAGGGTTTAAAGTTTCTTTTGTTCTAACCAGAAATTTGCTCATGGATTGGATTGTTTCTCGGGCAACTCTTCTGGTTCCAAAAGAAGGGGCGCCATGTCAACGTTGTCGCTCTCATCCGCAATCGTTGATGATGGAAGGGCAATTGTAGTTGGCGAGACAGTTGTGAATTCCTCCAGCACAGTTGCAGTGTCCACAAATGAAGATATCGGAGCCGGGTCGTCAGACGTTGCAGTGAAAGCGTTCCATGGTTGCAAGGCAACGGCAACCACCACTGCACATACCGGTACCAACGAGGCAAAAAAGGCAGTGGATAGGAGTAAGACCCGACGAAAACAAGAGTTATGTTGTTCCTTGCTACCAACCGCGATCTACGTACCTAAAACCAAGACGATACAAGCAGCTCCGAACATTAAGAGTCGGACAGTGGGATCGCGTCCACTCTTGCCTTGATCAATCATAGTTGCTCCAAAGTGGAAAGAGTATTCTTCATGTCCAGATTCCAAATCCCTACTATCCGGACTTCTGTTGCTTGTCGAAGCAGTGTTGCTTGTGCGGTTGCTTGTGCTCTTATTGCTGCCCTTGCTATTGCTCGAAGGAAGCGTTTGGCTGTGACGATGGCTGTAGCTGTGCACATTGCTGGTAGCTTCGGATGGTTGCTGCGTGGAATCGTCATCTTGTGTGGGAAGATCCACCAGAGAAGGAGGCAAACCAATCACACAGAGAGACTCATACTTGTCGTCATTGTTGCTGATGTCGGGAGAACTGCTATCTTGGATTCTTCGTGGCATTGTCGCTTGTCGTGGAGTTGAGTTCAGAAACCTTGGTTATTGGTGTTTGGTGTACAAAGAAATGAGCATTCAATAATATGGAGGCTCAAGTTTGGTACTGGTGCGTACTTGCTGTTGGTGTCAGGCGTTTATGGCAAGCAGGAGAATTCCAAGAAGACGAGTTCGTGTATGGGTTTCATGATGTCGAGAAGGCAATCTGAAGAGAACAGGACCGTGCTATGGCAAGTTGCTATTCAAGCGAGCTGAGTTTGATGTTGTGTGTGGTTGGTTGTGTACAGGAGTATGAGGCTCAACCCGAATGCTGCCCACTTCGCTTTCGACTTCACTTACTTTTCGGGTGGTGGCTGTTGTGCTTTGATGCTTGATGGAAGAATCGAAGAATCTCAAAATTGTGAGAGCATCCTCTTCCTCCTTCGGGCTGTCACGTGTGGCTTTGTAGAAAGTCAAGCCCAATTGCACCAATGACCGATTATCTTGCTCCAAACTCCAAAGACTTATGCATACTTGCTTCTGGGTTTTTAACATCGGGTTGCCGAGCCTTCATCACCGGACCCGAGCAATGGCGATACAGTGTACGGCGGCTTTACGGCCACCTCCCACAATGACATCCAGTCGTTCGGCTAGTGTAGAGAAGATCAAGTCATGTTTGTGACGTCTCCTTGTCTCGTCTGCTTTCGCACCCCCCATCCCGCCTCGATCAAGAAAGAATGAAGAAAGGAGAACAAGTAAGTGAAGAAGGGGTTTAGAGAACAATAATTGAAGCTACTGGAAGAGATGTGAACGGGGGTGTGCCTCCTAAAGGTAGATTATCGTATATTACCTGGCAGCGAAGTTATCTACCTCCTCCCTTGCTCCCCCCAGGTCCCCCTCCCTATCCCCTCACCATCGAGCGCCTGTTCACGAGATTCCTGCATGCCTGCATGACCGATCTCGTCCTTCCATATAACCAGAGACACCATCATCGTAAAAACTCGTGCCTACATAAACACTGCCACAAAGCAACGGAACCAGCAAGATTCCAAAGAAGATGAATCAATCAAATGAACAGGATGGTGATGCTCAAGATGGTGAATCTGCTAGAGATGATGATAATCTACCAGACCAGCGTGACTCAGCGGTTCTGGATAGCCTCATCAACCGAGTAGAGGCAGAAGCCGCACAACAGTACCAAGATGAAGAATCTGATGCCGTGAAAGCTCAAGTAAAAGACAAAGTGCACTTTGCCAAGAAAAAGGAGACCAAAAAGACACCTACTATTTTTACTACTACTACTGCTCGTACTAGAAGCACTAAAGAAGCCACGTCAGAAGAATACAAAGCAACAGAACAAATCATGGAGATTGTGGCAGAACAAGCTGGTCTGGCAATGGCAGAGCTCCTACAGGAAGAACAAGAGGACCTCAAGAAAGCACACAAAACCACTCCCAGCCTCAACCTTCTCCAGATGGCAACAGAAATAAATGAAACGGCCAAAATGGAAAAGCTGTCAAAAAACTCACAGGAGGCAACAGCAACAGACACAGCGACAGTACCATCAGGAGGTACCCATCAACAACTAGAAGTAATCGAGGAATGCACGCTGCATCAGACAAGCCAGCCACCATGCCGACCGGGAGCGTACATGGGAGCCCCGGGAGAAGCCTTGCTCCGTGCAAACACGCTCCGATTCTCTCTTGTCGGAGTGAGTGGAACTACTGGCCAGGGTGGTTTGGTTCAGTTGGATCGTCCAGTTGGTTCCTCCCTTGTTGAAGAACCACACAATGCAATACCCAGCACGAACAATTCAACAAGTGACAACCAGCAACTGGCAGTGGCCAATCCAGTTCTGGATGATACTGATGAGGAGCAAACAAGGCCACTGGCCAATCCGGTTGATCTTCAACAAGTTGAGAAAAAACGGAATAGACTGAGGCTGTTTTTTGCCCTATTTGTGGTGATACTGGTCATTGTGGCAGGTACCGTTGTTGGCACAGTCTTTGGAACACAGCAGAACAAGGATTCAGAGACACCAGGCGCTAATGAGTCCACGGCACCTTCGGAAGCACCTTCGGAAGCACCATCATCAGCCCCCACAGGAGTTCTGGACTTGCTGTTTGAGAATCTACCAATTCAAACCTTTGCTAGTATCAACAATGGCAGTGAAACTCCTCAGTGGAGAGCATGGCAATGGCTTGTGAATCATCAAAACATCACAAATCTTTCAGAATGGAGAAAACAGCAGCTGTTTGCTCTTGCTACATTCTACTATGCCTTTGAGGGAGAAAATTGGAATCCTCTCATAAAGGGGCATGGGTGGATGGATGACACGGTGGAAGAGTGCAACTGGTTCTCCAGTGGATTTGGATATTTTTTGGAAGGAAAATACATGGAAGATCCTTTGCAGTCTTCATGTGACAGCCATGGTAAATTCACCTCTCTTTGGTTGGAACACCTCCAGCTTTCTGGTTTGACACCTTTTGTTCCACGAGAGATCACCATGTTGACTTCATTGTCCCATCTTCAGTTGGGATTCAATGATATTGCAACATCGATTTCATCTCTGATTCCATCAGAATTATATGAGATGACTACATTGACAACATTGTCCTTTTACGCCGAGCAAGTGAAAGGCCAACTTCCTTCAGAGCTCGGACGACTCACTACTTTGGATACGTTATTTTTGTTGCAAAATCAGTTATCAGGCCAGATTCCTTCAGAGCTTGGACAGCTAACGGGCTTAAATGAGTTGTCATTTTGGGGAAACCAGTTCACTGGGGGAATTCCATCCGAACTTGGAAGACTCACTAACATGTCTTTCTTCGAGTTGTCCCAAAATCATTTCACCGGACCGCTTCCATCAGAGCTAGGAGGACTCTCTGGTGTGTCCCACTTTGGGTGCTTTGAAAATCAGTTCACTGGACCTGTCCCCTCTGAGTATGGTCAGCTGATTGGTTTGGCAGTCTTGCGTTTGGATGGAAATCAATTGACTGGACCTGTGCCATCCGCAATTGGCCTTCTGACAAATTTGAAGGCTTTGAATCTAACTGGCAACCTTGGCTTGTCTGGCACAATCCCAGAGAAGCTATGTTTCGTACCAAATGTGTCTTGTACTGCTTACGAAGATGACGATTTTTTCGACAATCAGCCCTGCCATATCGACTTTGATTGTACCTCTATTATGTGTGGATGTGATTGTGCCTGTTCCAATTCTTCTTTGATGCTAGGAGGAGTATAAATTTGTTGGGGCTATCCCTCTTTACAATCATAGGACGACGAACACACCGCTACAGCTAGTCCAGTTGACCCTTGCTCTATTTAGCTTGAAAGTAGGACTACGGTGGCTAGTAGCCTGTGCTCTGTGCTCCGGTATCATCGTCGACAACGACCGCCTCTGTGGATCCTGCTGTTACTCCTAACGTACAGTACCGTAGCACTTCCGTGACATTCTTGGGCACAAACTATCCAAAAATTGTCGTTGCTTTCGTCTTGTTGATTGATTCCATTCGTCTTGTTGTAATAGTTGTGGCTGCCTTCAGTCGTCTTGCTTGCGTGGCAAATGCATTTCCAAAGTCAGTGACCAGCCTACACCGAGTGAATCGAATCGAATCTCGGAAGGCCACATTACCACCAAGAAAACCAAGTGTAACTCTTACATGTACTCGCAGAGGAGGACGCAGAAAGAGAAGGAGAATTGACTCGACTCTTCTCAAATACTTCTCAAATCGACTTGTCTTGGTGATCTGCCGGCCGTTGTTTTCTTCGTGGTATCCAGCCGCCATCCCAGCCGCACAATGGCAGCCTGGATGTCATCGTCGCTGTCGTCCTTCTCATAGAGGAGAAGAGCGAAATATCACCGCCGCTCGTTTATATAACAGTGGCAACAGTTCATTCGTCGACGACTCCGCCGTTGTTTTTGGTGGTATCCCCCCAGCACAACCTCAAAGTCGACTGTCGACTGTCACCAGCGGACTCCATGAGCGGCCATCGGCGTCGTCGTTGCCGTCGTTGCCGTCGTTCTCAACCGAGTTAGCAAGAGACTTTTCCCATGTGGAGCATCGAAATAAGACAACCACCGTGGTGTGTCAAAGGTTAATAAAAGGTGGTTTGACGGGTATGGGGCAATTGGCAGCAGGATGATTTGAAGACTTCCCCATTGTCCTTGCTTGATACGGTATGTCAGAAATTTCGGGTTCAGTATTAGGGTTAAATGTCGGCCGGCGCAACCACGCTTGCTTTCGTTCAGCGTTCAGCAGAAAATCAAGTCCTGTTTGTGACGTCTCCCTGGTTCATCTTTCCCGCGACCGTTTTGTCCTCCCTCCCCCTCAACGCGATCAAGCACACCCACAGCAGGCAATGCACATGTTTCCCCTCGATCGACTGCAATCGCAGGATCGATATTGTCATTCCACAACCTCAGCAGCTACTAGTACTAGTACATCCATCATCATAAAAACTCGTGCTTAAAAATATGCACTGCCACAAATGTGTAACGGGGGTGTAGAGTACTGTAGGAGGATACATCCAGCAGCAGAACCAGCATGATGGAAGAGGACAACTCCGATGGCATTCCGAAAAAGATTAATCAATCAAACAAAAATGATGATGCCCAACGTGGTAGCTCTACTAGAGATGTTGATCATCAACCAGACCACTATGACTCAGCGGTTCTACATAGCCTCATAAATCCAGCAGAGGCAGAAGCCATACAGCAGTACCTAGATGAAGAATGTGAAACCATGAAAGCTCAAGGAAAAGACAAAGGGCAATTTGCCAATGAAAGGGAGGCCAAAAAGACATCTACTACTTCTTCTACTGCTACTCATACTAGAAGCACAAATGAAGCCAAGTCAGCAGAAGAATACGATGCAGCAGAAATTTCTTTGGAGGTTGTGGCAGAACAAGCTGGCCTGGCGACGGTGGAACATCCGCAGGAAGAACAAGAAGACCTCAAGAAAGCATACAAAACCACCCCCACTCCCAGCCTCAGCCTTCTCCAGATGACAACAGAAATCAAGGAAACTGCCAAAATTGAAAAACTGGCAAAAAACTCAAAGGAGGCAACCAAAAGAGGACCAGCACCAACAGGAGATACCCACCAACAAGGAGACATGATCCAGCAAACCACAGTATATCAGACACGCCAACAATCACGACGACGTACTACAAAAGACAAGGCTGCCAAACAGGTCACCAGAGCCCGTCTTGGGATTTCTAATCACGTCCAAGCAAATAAACTGGAAAAGACCACAGGTATGCCTGCCAAAGGGTTGCGAGGAAACACAGGGCCGGCAGCTGCAGGGGCACACCACATAAAACCATGTGCCGCCGTGAGTGGTGCTCATGCCCGATCAAATACGCTGGAAACCACACGTATGCCTGCCAAAGGGTTGCGAGGAAACACAGGGCCGGAACTTGCAGGGGCACACAACATAAAACCAAGTGCCGCCAGGGGTAGTGCTCATGCCCGAGCAAATACGCTGGAAGAGACCACGGGTATGCCTGTAAAAGGATTGCAAGGAAACACAGGGCCTGCAGCTGCAGGGGCACACAACATAAAACCAAGTGCCGCCGTGAGTGGTGCTCATGCCCGAGCAAATACGCTGGAAGAGACCACGGGTATGCCTGTCAAAGGACTGCAAGGAAACACAGGGCCGACAGCTGCAGGGGCACATCAAGCAAAACCAAGTGCCGCTGTGGGTGGTGCTCTGCCATTGTTGCGTGGGCTTGGCAAAAACAGGACCACAACTGTGGAGGCCACCAATGCAACAAATTATCATGGAGCCTACACATGCGAGAACTTACAGCGTGTTCAAAGTCTTGATTTTGAGCCTGTTCATAACAACAACCACAATGAAAATGAAAACGAATATGTCATCAATGAAAATGAAATCGAATATGCCATCAACGATCCAGATATTGTCCTGCTGCCCCCTACCAATGACCAAGGACTTGTTGAAGCTAGGCCAATCATGGAGGAATCTGAGAGTCAAGTCCTGCAGGAAGCCCAACAAGTTGATCATATATTGGAACAACGAGCTGACAGAGAGGAAAAGGAGAAGGAGTGCCATAGGGTTGGATTTGCCATCGTTGCTTGTTCTCTTGCTATTATCGCCATCAGTCTGTGCGTTGGACTAAGGCCCAAGTCAGAGATCATCCAGACACCGTCACCCACTGTTCATGTTTTCATGGAGCCTTCTGGAGTGCCATCCTCTACACCCAGTGGTTTTCTGGACCTGCTGCTGAATAATCTTCCCAGTCACACATTGGCTAGCATCAACAATGGAAGTGAAACTCCTCAGTGGAGAGCATGGAATTGGCTTGCAAACCACCAAAATATCACATTGCTACCAGAATGGAGAAAGGAGCAGCTGTTTGCTCTTGCTACATTCTTCTATGCCTTCGAGGGGGGAAAGTGGAATCCTCTCATAAAGGGGCATGGATGGATGGATGACACAGTGGAAGAGTGCAATTGGTTCTCCAATGGATTTGGATATTTTGAGGAAAGAACATACGTTGATTATGATAATCCTTCGCATTATTCATGCAACAGCCATGGCAAAGTTACCTCACTTTGGTTGGAAGACCTCCAGCTTTCTGGTTTGGCGCCTTTTATTCCACCAGAGGTCACCATGCTGAGTTCATTGTCCCGTCTTCAGTTGGGTTTCAATAAGATTGCGACATCGATTTCATCTCTGATTCCAGCAGAAGTGTATGAAATGACTGGTTTGACTGGTTTTGGATTGTATTTTGAACAGGTGACTGGCCAAATCCCAAGTGAGCTTGGACAACTCACTGATCTGTATCAGTTGTTTTTGCTTGGAAATCAGTTATCCGGCCAGATTCCTTCAGAGATCGGACGGCTAACTGGCTTACGTGACTTGTGGTTATTGGGAAACCAGTTAACAGGCCCGATTCCTTCAGAGCTTGGACAGCTTACTGGCCTGAGTGTCTTGTGGATGTTCGGAAACCAGTTCACTGGGCGGATTCCTTCAGAGCTTGGAAGTCTCGCCAACATGTCTTCCTTGGAGTTGTCCCAAAATCAGTTTAGCGGACCCCTTCCATCAGAGCTTGGAAGACTCTCTGGCGTGTCACACTTTGGGTGCTCCGAAAACCAGTTCACTGGACCTGTCCCCTCAGAGTTTGGTCAGCTGATTGGTTTCACAGTCTTGCGTTTGGCTGAGAATCAGTTGACTGGATCTGTGCCATCAGAGCTTGGCCTTCTGACCAATCTGGAGGCTTTCAATTTAACTGGCAACCTTGGCTTGTCTGGCACAATCCCAGAGAAACTATGCTTCTTGCCGAATGTGTCTTGTACTGTCTACGAAGATGACGATTTTTTTGACAATCAGCCCTGCCATGTTGACTTTGATTGTACCTCTATTTTGTGTGGATGTGATTGTGCCTGTTCCAATTCTTCTTTGATGTAAAAAGGGAAATAGAAGATGATCTGTATGTGTTGCGTTACGCAGCTATGAACAGATGATGCCCTTTATGAATTGGATTGTTTGCTAGCTATAGCAATCAGCTGGTGCTAGATTGCTCCGAATGCCTGCAAAACTTCTCCAGCAATTCACTTATCAAAAAAAGGGACACGATAGTTTCTAAGGGGCGGTACGACACCCTTCCAAGAACGCCCCCCAGGGATTTGGATATTGTAGTTAGACTCCATGCAGTAGTCTACATTATTTCATCCCATGCAGCAGCTAGCTTGTAGCTGGAACGGATCAAGGCAGCAGGAACGGTTGAAAATCAATCTTGTTCTTTGACAAGATCGTCTCTTGCAAGGAATGCATTTTGCCAACCCATCACCAAGGCTCCACATTCCAATGCTAGACAACGGCACTTGGGCTCATCCGACGAGTGACGAGTCGAGTCCTGCATCCTACATCCAGAGAGGAGAGGCGTCGAGAACGCTATAGTGGTACATGTACCGCTACTAGACTGTCAATCCATGCACGGAACAGCATCCGACAAGCAGCATTGGTTCCAACCTGTTTTGTTCCCCGGATTTCACCGCGAATGGTACCAGAAGCATTAAGGAGAAGTTCTGAAGAACCCTTCGGATCCCGGGCCCACACCTTAACCAAACAAACATTGAGGAAATGCTTCGACGATGGCCTCACTGCTCAGGCTTGAGAGCCAAACATCGGCTCAAGGACGATGATCAGAAGATCCACAGCGATCAACACTGTCGAACACAGCATAGCCAACTCGAAAGATGTACCTCTACAAACAAACAATTCTTGTCTCACAAAATTATGAAGCACAAAGCTCACAATCACAACAACACTACGCTACTACCCACTTTGATATCTTTCATCCTCGTCCTCATGTCTCCATTCTCCTCTTCCTTCCAAGGCACCAAAGCCAATGGCGAATCCCTCTATCCTTCCAATTGGCCTGCCATTCCCTTTCACAAGGGTGAAGTGGCGGTCCAGAAAAAGGTTGGCACCCATGACTTTGTCATGTCCTATGCTCCTCGCATGATTCGGCCTTATATGCCCGATCAACATCGTCAATTCTTTCAAGCACAACCATTCCTGGTCATTGCCGCTCGGGATGATCAGGGACGCATGTGGTCGACTCTCTTATCGCCTTCCCAAACCACCAGTCCCGACCCCAAGAATCTGGTCTTACACAATGCTCAGCCCGTTGCGGGCGATGCCTTGGAGGGCATGCTCCAGCCCGGGACAGACATTGGGATGATTGGAATTGAGTTTGCCACCAAACGGCGCAACCGTGTCAATGGAAGGCTGGTGGCAACCCGTGACGGTAATAATAACAAGTTGGTCTTTCAAGTGGACCAGAGCTTTGGAAATTGTCCTCAGTACATCAAACCACGTCAGTGGTGGATTGCTGCCAATGACACCAACACCAACACCAACACCAACAACCAGAATGCTACCACCACTACTCATCGATCGGATCGGCTTTCCAAAGACCAAGTGGCCAAGATCAAAGCGGCCGAAACCATCTTTGTGGCATCGGGATACCGTGATTATGCCAACGGTGGAGACGATCCTCGGTATGGCAATGACGCCTCTCACAGAGGCGGACCAGAGGGGTTTGTAAATGTCCGTGATGACAAGACATTGATTCTACCAGACTACGCTGGCAATCAGCATTTCAACACCATTGGCAACTTGGTCATGGACCCCCGAATCGGCATTACGTTTCCAGAATACGAGACGGGTGCCATGCTGCAGGTCACAGGACGGGCCAGAGTAGTGGAGTTTACGAGGAACAACAGTCTGCTGGCTGCCTTGTATCCTGGAGCCGAACGATTGATTGAAATACGGATTGATCAAGTGGTGGATGTCCCACCCGGATCCATTCCCATTCGTTGGTCCTCCTCCACGGACGAACTGTTGCAACGCAAGTTGGTGGTGTCGGCCAAGATTCGTGAATCAGACAGTGTGATGAGTTTCCACCTGCGACCACAGGATCACGAGTTGCAAACCTTGTGGAAGTTTCAACCAGGACAGCATTTGCCCGTTCATGCGGCCGGTGTCGATCCACTGAACGATCCCGAAGCCGCCATGGAACGCACCTACACCATATCGGCGGGACCGGATTGGGGCGAATATCGCATCTCGGTCAAGCGTCAAGGCAAGGTCTCCTCCTTTTTGCACAGTCACATCCAGGTCGGCGATACACTGCTGGTGGACAAACCTGCTGGAGACTTTGTGTTGAAAGATGACAACCATCGACCTCTGGTCCTCTTGAGCAATGGCATTGGAGTGACACCCATGATCAGCATGTTGCATCATTGGGCCAATCCTGATCAATCCAAAAAGCACTGTCGCCCTGTCTATTGGATCCATGGTGCTAGGGATAGCCAACACCATCCCTTCGACAATGAAGTCCAAGAGATCCAGAATCTTGTCAAGGGCAGCGAAAGGGCAAACCTCTACACTCATGTTGCGTATTCCCAGCCGCTAGACGGAGACACGGAGTATGATTCCCAAGGCCGACTCACGGCGGACCGGGTCCAGGCTATAGTTCCAGATCTACGGAATGCTGACATTTACATGTGCGGAACCGATGCCTTTGTGGCGGACATGGAAGAGGGTTTGAAAGCAGCCGGAGTGCCCTCGGCTCAGATCCGCTATGAGACGTTCTGAAGGGATTTTTCGAAACTATCTCCAGGTCCAGGTCTTCTCGCACAAATCTATTCCTGCAGATAACCTCCCTACTCTAGCTAGCTAAACCCCCTTATCTTACTCCTGCTTGCTAGCTAGCTAGTGCAGTTGACATGGGGGCAATAGCGGTAGCCAGCACTGTACAATACTTGGTAGAGGCCAAGAGAAAAACCTGTGTGGATTTTTTAACCTTCTAAAGTAAAAACCTTATCCACAATTCTGGCAATGACGCGATGGTTGAGCAAGCTCCTCGTGGATCTTGTATGCCCAATTCTCGCTGGGATCCTGGATTCTCCGCTCCCTGTTCTCTGTCAGCCTCTCAGTCGCAGCATTGAAGAGGACACTCAATTGGCCACATGCCCACAAAAGTGAACTGATCAGGTGTTGGGAACTAACCTGCTACTAGATCTACCGTACTAGTACTGTGGAGCATTGAGGCAGTCAGTTTTGAAAGAAGAACGAACCGAGCAAGATGGCGGATGATGATGGTCCCAACAAGAGGGGATCCATGGATATCTCTGATATCGGTTCCAAACAGAGACTGGCAAGAGCATTGGGAAGCTCGGTGCCGGAGGAGGAGAGAACGTCAGACGCTTCGAGTAAACGCCAACAAATGATTGGAGCCTTGGCCAGCTCTATTACGTCTGGGTTGCCTCCTGATTTGGGTAGGCAGCAACTGATCGACAATCTCTCCAACTCGTTCAATCAATCCTTTTCCATGAATGACGAAGAAGTGGAAGCACAAATCCTCATTGCCATGGGTGGCGCTTCTGCCAGCAACTTGGATTCCACAGATGAAAAAACAGCTCGAAAATCACGCATGAGCGTTCGCATGAACACTCGTGCTTCGGTCATGAACGCCAATCGAAGAGCCAGTCGTTTGAGTGTGGCCGGTGCTGGTATGAATGGGAGTAAACGAATGAGTACTCGCTTGAGTATCAGCAATAGTCGCATGAGCACTCGTATGAGTGTGTCACGACGAGGCAGTGGCGGGTTTCTCATGCTCAAGGATTTGGAAGAGCGAGATGAATTTCACAAGATACAGGCCGCCGCTTTTTTGCGAGAATTATACAAGCTTGCCGACGCGGAAAGCAACCAAGAATTAAAGCAGACCATTCTGACCAGGAGTACTTCCTCGGGTCCTGTTTCGGGTGGTGGCGGCGGCGCATCCGGAGGCGAATCCGATGGTGATATCAATTTTGAGGGGATCGACTTGGCATCGTTAACTCCCGCACAAGCCAAGGCCAAAATCGATGCCCTCCATGCCGGAGGAAAAATCGACGGTGATAGCATGATGGCCTTGATTCAAGCAGGAGTAAAAGTCCTTGGTGAAGAGGAGACTGTCATTGATGTTCGTGAAATCCATCCCAATCTGCAAACAGTCACTGCCGTGGGTGACTTGCATGGAAGTTTGGAGTGCCTCATGGAAGTCCTCAAAATGGCAGAAATCGACAAAATCTTTGCAGACGCAAATGGTTCCATCGTTGTGTTTGATGGAGACTTTGTGGATCGTGGATTCAACAGTTTGGAAGTCATTGCCACTCTTCTCTTGCTCAAACTGTCACACCCCAAGAATGTGTTCCTATTGCGGGGCAACCACGAGGATTCCATGACGGCATCATCGTATGGCTTTCGTGAAGAAGTGGATGAAAAGTATGGCCTGGACAAGGGAGATGAAATTTGGTGGGAGTTTGGCTACCTCTTTGCCGCTTTCCCCATTGTGGCTCGAACCAATACCGCAGCAATTATGCACGGAGGCATCTGCGTGGAAGAATTCGATCTCAGTGATCTCAACGAAATTGATAAGGAGACTCGTTGTGAGATGAAAACCATTTCTGATCCCTACGATGATGATGAACGTCTCTTACAAGGCATTTTGTGGAGTGATCCCTCGGAGGAGCCGGGCATCAATTTCAGTGATCGTGGGGCCGGATTTACTTTTGGTCCTGATATTTCTGCCGATTTTCTGGACCGGCATGAGCTAAAATACATCATTCGAGCTCATGAGGTTGTGGAGGAGGGCCATTGCAAGCATGATTTGGGAGAGGGTCGAGGTGTCATTACCATTTTCTCGTCTGCCAACTACCCTGCTGGGGAAGGCACCAACTCTGGAGCAGTCGTCTTCCTGAATGATCAAAGTGGTGAATACACCACGAAAGATTTCATTCACAAAGAAGGATCCGGGGATGATTCTGCAATGCTTGCTGCTCTGTTGGGCACGTTTGTGGATGGTCACAAGAGTCACTTGACCAAAGCCTTTCGTGAAAAGCAAAGCAAGGATGGTGTGGTGACATGCGAAGAGTGGGCTGATGTCATTGCTGAGCTCTTGGACCTCCCCGACATCAGTCTGACGCTCTTGGCTATGCAACCGGAACTGGCGCCTTCGACAGAAGAGGGCGGTGATTATATTGATTGGAACGCCTTTATGAACCGGTACACAACTGTCCCCACAGCACAAGTGCTGGCAAAAGATCAGTTGGTGGCCTTGAGTGAAAACAAGGACAAGTTTTTAGACATCTTCCAGCTGATTGATACTTCCGGAGACGGCACAATCTCCAAGGAAGAGTTTGTGTCTGGGATGAAGATGTTGAATGAACAAGTCAACCAAAAGGTAGAGAATGTGGAGAAGTTGTTTGAAGCATTTGATGAGGATGGTGATGGAGAGATCTCCATTGTGGATTTCAGCAAGGCACTGCAATCGTCTACTGCTTTGCAAGGTGTGACGGAAGCTCTAAAGGATGACCAGGTGGAGCATTTGAAACGCACCCAAGACATGATTGCGACCTCATTCAAGTACTTGGATAGCAACAAAGATGGTGGGATTGATCGTTCGGAATTTGAGAAAGGCTTTGAAGTATTGAACAAGCGAATGCCGGAACGTAACAAATTTGGGAAGTATGAGGACTGGTTCAATACTTTCGAGTTGAATGACAAGGAGCAAATTGGTAAGGCGTCTATATATATATATATATTTGTTGCTGTGACCTGCACATGCTTGTTGATTTATCTACATACGGTAGTTCTCATACATGTTCTTTGATTTTCTACTTGATTTGGTTTAGATTTCGGTGCATTCAAGCAAGTCTTTTGCTCCATCTGAGTTGTTGGAGCCATCTGTGTCTTTGCTGTTCGAACTATTGCTGCTGTTCGAACTGTAGCTTTCATTCAATAGATAGAGATAAACAACTACTAAGTCTAGTAGCTATCTAGAATCCTCAGTTAAAGAAAGGACGGCACCACGGCAAGTGTTTTCTTCTCTGCAACCCCAATTATTGAAGAGGACGTACAGGAGACCGTAGAACGAATGATCAATCTTGAGAGAGTCCTTGGACGACCACAAACCCCCCTTTTCACAAACACCGATCCATTGTTTGTTGGCAAGTCGGAACGGTGTGACCATACCGGCATGGCATACCGGTAGCAAGACACCTGCAGGGTTGCCCAGTCAGTTCCCGACGTGCTGCTTCATGAGCAAAAACACAAATGAGGCGTGGTGCACATCGATGGGTGAGAGCGCATCTCTCCCCCGGCTACTTAGAAGCAATCTCAACGCCTCTGAATAGTACTTAGACAACTGGCTTTCGTAATTAGACATCAACGGTACACTGTAAAATCCTACGAGGATATCACATGCAACAAGGCGCAGCTCCGAAAGATAAGATGGGTGAGCAGAGGTGCATCCAACTTCACCAAGAGACAAGAGGTAGACTGCTCCAAAATGACAAACACCATGACGAGGTTGTTGTTAGCCCTTGTTTGCTGCATTGCTGGTACTGGTAGCCTCAGCCATGCCAAGCCGCACAGTACGAACTTTGTCCACGAGCGAAGGAAACATGAAAGTCGCCATCGGATGTCCATGATCCAAGAGCTGTTGCCTCGAACGGCATCGTACGACGATGAAGACAAGGAAGATATGCCATCCAGAAAAAGGAGCAAGCATCATGAAACACGTGCCAAAGAAAAACTGCAGAAGAGGAAAGCATCTAAGAGTGACGGCAGCACCACCAGCACCAGCAAGGATGCTGCCAAGCAGAAGCAGAGCAAGAGCAAAAGCAAGAGCAGTCAGAAGAGCTACAATCCACCCACGTCTCTGTCACCAGTCTTTTACACTACGGTACCTCCACAAGGCTCCATTCCAACCTTTCCTCCCTTTGATAGGCCGAGACCTTCAGGCAATGAAACCGAATCAGAAGAAGAAAAGGAAGAGGAGGAAGAAAAACATACCCCGTCTCCAGTTCCAGAGGATGAGGAGAGCTCGAGTAGTGGCCCCAGTAGCTCGAGAAGCAAAGGCAAAATGAAGATGGGAGGAGGAGGTGACATGAAAATGACTGGCATGGGTGGCAGCAGCAAAACTAGCTCTAGCACGTCTCAAAAGTCCAAAAAGATGAAGACAATGAGTGGCAGCAAAATGAATAAGAAGATGAATAATAAGATGAGTAGCAAGACTCGCAACGGTGGCTCTACCGGCCATCCAACCTTTTTAAAGCCCACTGGTCCAGAACCGACCGTAAAACCCACGCTGCCCTTTGGAGAAATGACGGCTCAGCCAACTGCCAAGATGGCGCTTCAAACGGAGGAACCAACCGAAGGCAATGCGACTGCAATATCCACAATTCCTCCCACCATCGTAACTACTGGTGAGGCTACTGCAGGAGGCCCCGTTGTATTCACCTTGTCTCCAACCATTACAACGACCGCCATCGATCCCAATGAGAGTAATGGAACCATCATGGAGGCTCCAGGCGGAAAGAACAATGACACGGAGACAACCATGGGCCCTACCAACAATGGCACATCCACCATTGCTCCCATTGACAACAACAACTCTACTACCAACAACACCAGCATTACATTGTCACCCACAACTATTCTTCGTGCACCCAAGAAGGAAGACTTGGAAAGTCTGCAACACAACAGTATGGAAGAACCAAAAGACAACGCTACCACCAGTTATATGATGGAAGCACCAACCGTATACTGGTCCATGGATACTACCACGGATGATGACAACATGACTGTTGCAATGATGGCTCGAAGTGCACCCATCATGAAACGAGCCCAAAATGTGCCAGACGAAACTGTCGAACCAGATGTCGATTACGAAAATGAGCAATGGATCTTGGTGGGAACTCCATTGCAGGGGCGGGCCACTGTTCGAGACCGTTTCGGATACAAGGTCAGCCTTTCCAGTGATGCGGGCATGCTGGCGGTGTCCACCGGTATGGGATCACCCATGTACGTCTACAAACTGGATACCAGTAGTAGTGAGGATGACCAATGGATGCCAGTGGACTTGAGTGGCATCGAGTCGGATGGTATCCTGACACTCAGCGGGGATGGATCCACGTTGGCGGTCAAGACGAGAACACAAGTTCTCATGTACAAGCGCATTGAGCAAGGTGATGGAACCGTTCAATGGATACGTTTGGGAAGTGCCCTGGAGAAAATCGACACTGACATGTCCACGACGACAATGATGGTCGTCAAAGACCTCTCTGCGATTCCCTCCCGGTTTGGTGAAGCGGTCGCCCTGAGCCATGATGGAAGGACTGTAGCGATTGGGGACCAAGCGGACAAGAACATGACGGGATGGGCACAAGTTTACACATTTGATGGCAACCAATGGGGTCCTCTCGGTGCAGAGTCCTTTGTGGGATTTGAAAATGGGGACCACTTTGGCAGTAGTTTGGCGCTGAGTCGTGACGGGAGAACACTGGCCGTTTGTGGTACGCAGAATTCCTACATTGATGGGCCGGGATACTGTCAGATTCATCGATACAGCGATGCTCATACCAGCTGGATACAGTTAGGACTGGACATTTCGGGTCAAGGCCAGTTGGATTCTTTTGGTCGCAGCGTGGCACTTTCGTCCGACGGAAACACGTTGGCTGTGAGTGCAGATGGTCGTGATGTAGGCAACCTGAAGGATGTTGGACGTGTCTATACCTTTGCGTACGACCCCAACGACAAGTATTGGCCCCGGTTGGGAAGGATGATTAACGGCGACGAGGAGAATCAGCGTTTGGGGCATTCCATTGACCTTTCTAGTGATGGCACTATGCTCGTTGTTGGAGCCTGGGCTCAAGGTCATCCACTGGAAGGGTACGCAGCAGTTTACCAACTTCAGACGACCACTACTGCGGAGGCAGAGAGTAGGGAGGAATGGGTTCAGGTTGGTCAACTTCTTACAAACGGCAACAATTTTGACAACTTTGGTGGGTCCGTGAGCATGTCCTCGGATGGCACGACAGTGGCCGTCGGAGCGTACAACTTTGGAGTAACAGCGCTTGAGTTTATTGGGCAAGCGACAGTCTTCACGCTATCGCAATAAGGGCAAGCACAATCGAGCTGAACAAGGGAAGAGGGACGTTGGAATCGAATCCAAGCACGCGGCGGCTTTTTACACCATATCAAGGCCGACCTGCAAGCCAGGACGAGCTCTCCGTGCCGTGCTTGAGCAAACGAATGTTGGGGGTGGAGCAGAAAACGTAGTGGTAGGCACTTGCTTCAACCTGAATGCTGTCTCATTGCGGCAAGGTCAAGTGCGTCAGGTTCATGACAGAAATCAGAGTGCAGGCAATGGAGCGTTCATGTAAGACAATTCACGACCGACTACGAAGGGGTGCCAGCTTTACCTTTATACCTTTCAAGTTTGCACGGAAGTAGCGTTGGTTGGATTATTCTCCAGCGTGCCTTCGACGCTTCCAAAGTGACGGATTGGATGACTCTCTAGTCTCTCTTGGCCAAGAGCTAGCCTACAAGTTGGGCTTGGCTAGCTACTATACATACATAAATACACAAAACCTGCTACAGTATTGTAGATATCAATTTGGGAAAAACTAAAACTAACTGAGTGCGCACTGCATATACCTGGCCGCCCCCGATCCATAGTTTAGAAAAGTGCAAAATGTTTCAACGCAGCGTTTGCGGCCACATCAACACGGCCCTCAAAGACAACAAGAGGCTGGCTGTGTTACCTCTTCCTCATCAGAACAAATCCAGCCACCACAGCAACAATGGCAACGGCAACAGACGCTTTGAAGTAAGGGCTTCCAATGATGGAAGGCTTCTCTTCTTCGGTGCTTACAGACAGGTCTGAGGCCACCATTTTGGTGCAGATTGGGTGATAAATATGTTTGTTTTCCAAAAAAGTCTCAACTGCCAACTCAGATGCCATCTTTGATTGGAATAAAGCTCTGTACAAAGGCCTTGTGAACTTGGAAGGGAATGGCATGAGCAAAGGTGAGAAAGTGATTCACTGTGGAACCTGGAATGGTTGTGCTCTGGTACATACCTTCATGCGTCCCTGTGTGGTGGCAAAACGAATTGCAATTGGAATAATGTCCTTGTCTTCTGCTGCGATGGCTAGTTTGCAAAAACGGAATAGCACCTCTGAGTTTTTGGTCGACTCAAACCCATACTGCAGTTTCATAGCTTTGAGAGTGTCAAGTTTGAGTGGTTGGTCTTCACACAAATCCAAGAGAGCATCCAAAAAGCATGTTTTCTGGTTGGACGACCAGTCATTCAGGTTTTCGCTGGGGGCCACATTGCCAGATCTGTCAACCTCAAACCATTCAATGGCAAGTTTTTCAGAAGCTTCTGCCAGTGTTCGATCGAATTGTGGCTTTTCTGGGGGCATACCTGGGGTGTATAACCATGTATTCCAGTCAAAGTCCTTGACGCTGGCATTGCCTTTGAAGTGTTGATTGAAGAATGATCTGAACTCCTCCGATGTCACAGTTTTCGACGCAAATTGGGCCACATAAGCCTGAAAGAACTTTTCAAATTCAGGAGTCCCAACACGCGTCTCGAGTGCAAACAAAAGGTTGAAACCCTTTTCATAGGCAACTCGTGAGTAGGACTCATCGGGATCTTTATCTCCAATGTCCAGAACCAGACGACTGAATCCATCGGGCATTTGCCTGACTGTATCTTTAAGAGCCTTGTATCCACCAATGGCATCAAAATGCAAGAACTTGTTGTCTTTGTGAATTCGTGCCATGATTTTCCTTTGGAACCATGTTGTCCACCCTTCATTCAGCCAGAAGTGATCCCAAGTTGCATTGGCTGGCATGATGTATGTATAGAAGGCATACGCAAATAAATGAGATTCTGGAATTGCAGTGCATCTGAATAAAAGCATCAATCATTGACTTACTAACGAGATTCCCCGTCCAAGAGTGAGCTAGAGTTGAATGAAAAGAAAGACATGCAGAAGTCAGAAAAGCAAATTATGACGATTCCAGCTCAACTCATGTAACGTACCAATTTCATGTGCCACAACATCGGCCAATGATCGATCCCCAGCAAGCAAAGTGGGCGTCACAAAAGTCAGACAGGGATTCTCCATTCCTCCGTACGGGAACGATGGCGGCAGGCACAATAGATCGTAGCGACCCCAGACATATGGTTTTCCAGCAATTTCTTCGGCCATTTGGAGAAACTCTTCGGTTTGTGCAAATTCCCAGGCAGCCTGTTGGACAACCGATGGTTCACTCCAGACGGCACATCGTTCACTGATTTCCAGTTTGGCCAATTCTCCCACGGCCATGGCAATGAGATAACTGGAAATTGGTACGGGTTGATCCCAATGAAAAACTTTGGTGGTTGCCAAGGTTTCGTCCTTTTTCATGACTGCCGACATGACACAAGTGGCCCAGCTAGGAACCGTGACCTTGGCGGTGTAGGTCGCCTTGATTCCGGGTCTATCCTGACAGGGGATCAAAGCTCTGGCATGAATGGCTTGGCATTGTGTAAAGAGATAGGGATACTTGGCTCCTGCCGTTTGTTCGGGTGGCAGCCATTGGACCGCACTGGATTGTTGGGTGGTTTCATAGGTCACCGTGATCTTTTCGATGGATGTCGTTGGCAAACGAATGCTCAACTTTTGACCCAAATGCAGTTTGTTGGGGATCACCGAGTGGTGGGTGAAAGACAATGCCTCACCCGTTTTGGCATGCTCCACTTTGAGAACCTTTAAAAAGTTGGTATCCAGACAAACCACAGTGGCCCCAGGAGTGGCATACTCCAAAGTGTAGGTAGCAGATGCACGCAGGATGCTTTTTTCGAAGTCCACAGTCACTTCCCAATCAATGTGCTTGACAGCAATCACATTGGGATCGGACAAAGAGGAACGATCTTCAGGAGCAGCAGAAGCCATTGCTTAATCAACTACAGTACTGTAGTAACAGGAATGATAGTTTTCGTTGACCGATCGAAGGTTCTTTCTTTAGGAGCAGAGGCAATGGGAGCAATCACGATCATGCGATGGGTGATGGGTGTGTCCGTTGGGCGTTGTCGCATTGACACGTGTAAATCGTCAGCGACCTTACAAAAGATCCAAAAGATCGCCTCTTCACAGCGTTTTGTTTTTCCTCGCCCTCTTTTATCTTTCCAGAGCAGATGACAATGATGGCAATAAGACACCTCTCCGTGGCTCTGAGTATTCTACTACTGTTGACAACCTGCTTTTCTCCCTGTCATGGTTGGAATAGCAATCATGGGCCAGTCAAACCCAGAGCGTGGCACAAAACCATCCAGAAAGTAGCCACCAATGCAGCCGTTGCCACCACGATTTATTGTGGCATCATGCTTCCCCATGACGCAGCGTTTGCCGATGCCTCTTCTTCGTTTTCGGAGGAACAGCTGCGGCAAAGTTTGAAACCTGCCACCGAGTCGAGACCTCAGATCATGCTGCAAGGTCCACCACCGACTCAACAACAATATGTGCCCATTGAAAACCAGCCAATTGTACAGGGTAAGTAATCATGGATCTGACTAGATGGGGTTAAAAGTATGGTGTTCCGTTACCTTTCTCATGCAGTTCCTGTCATTTTCCTTTTTCATATTCTTATTAGGCCTACTGTCATTGTCCAACCCCAAATCAGAGATACGCCCCGCTTTTACGGATACCATTGTCATTACCATTCGAGACTATACCCAACCCGACACGGTTCTGGGAGGAGCCCGCATACCCGTTTCCAAGGCACGGTTTCCATTGGCATTTCGACTATATCCCAAAAATATATTGGCAAACCAGCAAGCTACGTGGAATGAAAAAACCAGTCAAGGCGGGGATGTGCTGGTCAAAGCGTGGCTGTGTCCCGAAGAGAATCCAAAATGTTCCGAAACCGAAAGTCGCATGCAAGCGGCAGGAGTGGCCAAACTAATACGCAATCTACCAGGACTGGCTACTGGTGAAACCATTCGTGCACCGGCGTCCTTGTCTCTGCAATAGTATAGCAGAGCTCTTGCTTGGGACTGTGGGAAGAAAAAGCCAAGTAGTTAAGCGCGCTACTACTATAAGGGTTTTGCGAGTCCATTCCTTCAGTGCATCGTCGTTCCTTCCCGAAGTATCGAGAGAATGCCTTTTGTGCCGAAGCCAGCTCTAATGTAGTTTATTAGAGAAGAACAGTTGCTCTTCTCACAGATAAGGTACCATGACGTTCACACAGTGTTTTCTATCAGATCGTGTCTCGAACGAAATCTAGCTTAGGCATGCAGCATGCACCAGGTAACTCCGACAAAAAATGAAGTACAACCCACAGCAAAACTCTTCACTCCAGTCTTGTTGTCGTAAAAAACTGTCCCACCAATTAGTACTTACTTTCTCAATGACACTTCGTCCTCCTCCAAAGTAGCAATGATGTCTCTTGATGATTCTTCACCACTACCTTTGTCATCATGATCATTGTCGTCATCATCGTTATCATTGTTTGGGTGTGTGAGCTGGTCAATGGCCGACCGGAGTTCATCACTGATTCCATGTGTCATTTCGGTCCATTCTTGCGTCAAATCTTGTCCAATATCTTCCAACTCGTGCGCAATGTCATCGAGTGTGGTAACGGGAAAGAGTCCATCCTCTGGAATCAAGCATTCTTCTTCCATTCCCGTCACACAATACGGTTCGGCGGCAGGAGTCGTAGTAGTACTAGTTGCGGATAGTGATTGTTGTAGTGGTTCGTCTTGCTGCTGTGGTGACTGATCCTCAGTAGTACTAGTAGCAGTAGTTGGATAATCCTTGGCGGATCCTGCCATGACACTGAGAATCATGGTCCAAAAGAGCCCACACACGCTCAAAAAGGGAATCTGCAAGTCTTCGGCAGAAATGAAAATTGGACAAATTGCACGGGGATCCAAAAGAGCAGATTGCGTTTCATGAGTGGCAAAAAAGTCTGTTGGGCTCGTTGTACAGTACCCTCCCACGTCAAGCCTTGCACAAAACTGGTGACACCAAAAAAGACGGGATAGTACAGAAGTGGGACAATGATCAATTGACTGACCAATGTTTGTTCCACCGCCGCGGCGTTCGTCATGGGCAACATGCCAGCTAGAAATTGTCCCTGACAGACTTGCACGACCAGTGGATAGAGCACATGCTGACTGGCGCGGTAGGCGGCGTCAAAGAGCGCAAAGGAAATGGCACGTCGTTTGTCATGCTGGTAGTCATCGTCATCATCATCGTTATTAGTAATAGCAGTGGTGGATTGCGCAATCCAATCTCCCGTCCAAGCCAAGCAAGCTCCCGTCATCATTTTGGTGGGCAGTGGATGAGCTGCCAGTGTGGACATGTACATGCCAAAGATACCATTATTGCCTGGAGGGGTTGACGCTACAACCGAAGAACTCAGAGTAGTGCTGCTGGTGCTGCTGATGGGCACTAACAAGGAATCCAAGTGACTCCATGCTTCTAGTGGACCGCTACTGCTCAGAGTTGTAACTAGAGACTCGTGCAGCGGTAATAAGACATGATGAAGACCAGATACCCTCTCTGCTGGGAATACCAGGACTATAACTGCAATCAGCCAAATTCTTGTCATGGTCGCCATTCGTTGGCGACAAGATCTCATCTTTGCCGAGCTCTGCAGATGCAGCGGCCAAACTTTTATGCATTCATCACTTGCAATTGGTAGGGTTGCGTTCGCACTCGGCTCCTCGAGAAGGCGACAGGATGGTGTCATGCTGGTCCTGCATGCATGGTTTCACCGACCAAGCAAGGGTTGGAGTGAAAGAAGCTTGGTGTCAAATAAAAACTATCCACGAATGAGCTTCCGAATCTTGAACACGTATGCAAACAACATCTCTGTGCATTCACCAAACCACAATCGCCAACGGGAAGAGACAACGGATGCTGTTATGGAGCGCCACATTCCAACGCCCCCATTCAAGTTCGTTCCACAGCTCCCCGGAGTTCAGCTTCCATGCTACCCGGTATGCGAGCAAAGTACCCAAGGCCTCACACCAGGCTTAGCTAGCTAGCATCCAACAGCAGCATTCTTTGTTGGCAGCAACTAATTCCCACCCCTTCTTCCTCTCGAGTTCGAACACAACATCGCAACATGGTCCAACTGTCCACCTATAGCTGCAGTACCCTTGCAACAGTGCTCGTTGCCATACTCCTGTATCCCTATTCCAGACACAACCAGAGGCGTGTTGCTTCCGCCAGAGCCCTTCAAGCCAGATACGAACGTCTGCTGCAAGAACCACCGGTTGCTGAATCATCATCCTCTCCGTTTTTCCAACATGGAGTGGCATCCTTTGATCCATCCTCCAACCAAGTCATTCTGTGGACTCGTGTCACGGATGCTACCTTGCCATCGCAACTCTCCGTCGTTTGGACTCTAGCAACTGATGAAGCATTTTCCTTTGTGGTGGATTCCTCCATTGCCACCACTACGGCCGATCAAGACTACACGGTTCGAGTGAATATTAATGGTGGATTGCAGCCCTACACTTTTTACTACTACAAATTCACTTACTGTCCTAGTACTGGCAGTTCTGGTTGCGTGGACTCCATCACGGGACGGACCAAAACGGCTCCTGCCGTTCCTCCTGCTTCCGCTGATGCCGCCGCTGCTGATGCTGCTGACGTTCCGGCACAAGCAATATTTCCACAGATTCGCTTTGCGACTGTTTCCTGTGCGACGCTGCAGTGGGGTTGGTTCCATGCCTACGAGCAAATTGCCCGTCGCGACGATGTGGATGCCGTCTTGCATTTGGGGGATTACATTTATGAACATGCACCGGGAGAGTATGGGGATATCCGGGATCACGAACCACCCAAGCGGACCGTTACCTTGTCCGATTATCGCATACGATATGCACAGGTACGTACAGTAAGAATGGAATGGAATGGAATGGAATGAAATGGCACGTACTTGATGGATGGATGTTTGTTTGTCGTATATTTGGCCAAAACAAAAGCAGGCACCAAACCACGTTTTCTTGTTCATGCCCTATAGTATCGAAGGGAAGAATCCTTGCAAAAACTACACCAACAGTATCCTTTCATTACGTTATGGGATGACCACGAATTTGTCAACAATGCCTGGACATTTGGATCTCCAGAACATGACCCAGAAACAGAAGGAGACTATGTGGATCGAAAACTTGCAGCAGTGCAAGCATACCGTGAATGGCTTCCCTTTCGGGAGAGAGCCGAAGGTGAAAGCTTGGATGGGGATGAGTCTTATGACGATCTAGTAGACAATGACGACAACAATGATCGCAAAAGACGGCTCAATGAGGAGGAATCAGTGTCATACCCGATCACCCCCGATTTGCCGTTTGGTGTCTCCCGAAAACTTCAGTATGGTAACTTGATTGACATTATCGTTATTGACAATCGCATCCTTCATCGAGATGAGCAGCGTGGAGCATTTGACGGAGGAAACGCCATGTTTCTTCCTAGCTACTACGACACGGATCACGACATGGTGGGCGAAGAACAAAAGATTTGGATCAAACGGAATCTCAAAAGATCCAAAGCAAAGTGGAAGATTCTGGCACAGACGGTTCTACTGTCCCCCGTCTCGCTTGCGGGACTGTTCTCTCACAGTAGCGAAGGATGGGATGGATACCACGCAGACAGGGCGGAATTGATGGATCATATTGCCGACAATCACATTGACAATGTTGTGATACTTGCAGGGGATATTCATGCCACCATCATTTCGGATGTTCCCAAAGAAAAAACGGGAGATTTGCAAACATGGGGAGATTGGTTGGTGCGCTGGCCAAGGGCATTTCTGTCAAAAAAGTACACATCCATTGCGGTGGAGTTTGTCGTTACTTCGGTCACGTCAATTACTCTTATTACAGAGAACGCTGGTTTCATCCCGTTTGCCGAGGAAATTGTTGATTGGCTATTTGCAGGCCCCGGTCTCGGCATTAACCGGCATGGACAATTCATTGAAACGCTCAACTGGGGTACGTCATCGTTCCTTTTCCAAATGTGCTGCTACCAACAGCATTTCCTCATCTTTCTGCGTCTGCCTCTCATCCCGGTACAGGCTACCAAATAATTGACTTTCAACCTGAGAAGGTGCAAGCCGATATTTACTTTACTGGCGATCCAAAGCAAGAAGTCGACGATAGGCCCGATGCAAAGAGGTATCAAAGGTCATACTTCAGTTTAGATGGGGACAACTTTGTTCAGCTGAGCTACGAACCAACCGAGCCACTGGATGGTGGATCCCAATACTAGTATACGTAGCTCGATGGCTGCAAGGCCCCACGACCAATCTGCATATTCTATTCTGGACTGTTTGATTGCATGGGTTTGCCCCCACTCGGTACAGTACCACCTGATTCCGCACTAAGACACCTTGGCATAATTGTCCAAAAGATGAAGAGCGAGAGAACGATCACGATGAGTGTGGGAGCAGGTTGGAAATCTCCGAGCTACAAGAACGCCATGATCGGATTTGGCGGTTTCCTGCGCTGACAGAACGTTTGAACGAGCAACCCCTAGAGGAAAAGCTGGAACCGCATTGTAAAATATTGGGGCACTAATGCAAAGAATTGTAGTTATCTGGACTATCCGTTGTTTGCGGGCCAGGACGAACAGAATCGTGTCGTTTTCAGCCATGCAGTCTTCTCGGCATGTAGGCTGAGATGAATCAGAGAGGGATGAGAAGAACGGTGTCGTTTTCAGTCAGCAAGTGTTCGACATGTATACGCCGTAATGGATCAGGGAGTGATGGGAGCTTCAAGGCCAAGCTGGGCCAGCAAAACCTAACAAGCGAGGCATGTCTTAGACCCACATAGTTCTGCTCGCGTCTTCCTCAAACCTTTCAGTTTTTTCTGTCTTTTCTGTCTTGTCAAACGAAAAGGAATCGGTCTTCTCTTTAGAGACACGGCCGGCCAAGAGACCGAGCTGTAGCCAATGGAATGGCTTCTTGTGTTCATGGCTGGAGTTGGCGCTGCCCTTCCTCCTGCTTCCGAATGGCTTTGCGCTGGACTTTCGCTTGTACGACTCCATTCCTCCCCTTGAATCAGAGGCACTAGAAGATACGGGCGCCTCCATTGTGAGCTTGCTGTGCACCCCCGAAGAAGCTTTTGTGACGCCGTCAAGATCGTACGAGCCCTTGGAGACAACAAACCAGAACACGTCCTTGTTGTTTTGGATTTCATCACGCTCAAATCCCTGGGCCAGGAAGGCCTCGGAGGCAGGCTGAACCACGGGATTCGGGGTCACCTTGAGGACCCTCTGGGCATGTTTCATGCAAGCCTTGAGATCTTTCTTTGTGACGGTGGTCGGTCTGGAGTAGAAACAAATACAGTAGGGACTTCTAAAGTCCCACAGCTGCATTGGCTTGGGTTTCTCATAAGAGTCAGCACTGCAACCACCACGGTACGACCAGCTGCCATTGCGGAGATTCACCTGATAGTGAGGCAACAGTTTGTATCCTTCATTGGCGACTAGATTGACAGCGTCAATCATGTACTTGACAGTCTCTTCACTCATATAGTAGGAGAATCCCAAGCGGGTCCATCCAGGCTTGATGGACTCACCAAGAGTAGCCAGCTTGTTGACAATCTTATCATATGTCGCCGTGTCAATGTCTAACAAGAGGTGGCCATAAGGGCCAGCACAGCTGCAGCCTCCACCTGCTTGAATACCAAAGAGGTCATTGAGCAAGGCAACAACAAAGTTGTGGTGCAAGAAGGCTCCACTATCTCCAGGAGCTTTCACCAGGAAGGATACGATGGACACTCGCTTTGCATCTGTGTTGCCCAGAAGCACAATGTTGCTGTTCTTACTCCAGGACTTCAACGCCTTCTGCAGAAAGTTGGTTTCTTGCTGTTCAATCCAGTCTCCGCCAAGTTCATGGTGGAGCCCAAGGACCAAGCCACAACGGATCGATTCAACACTTGCTGGAGTACCACCTTCTTCTCGTGTCTCAATGTCATCGATATACTCATGGCCATGGGGCTGAACAAAGTTGACAGTGCCACCACCGGGAACAGTAGGAATGGCGTTGGTAAAGAGCGACCGGCGGGCAATCAAGGTTCCAGGAGTTCCAGGCCCGCCAACAAACCTGTGGGGTGACAGGTAGACTCCATCCATGTCATGTCCTTCGAGATCAATCGCCACATGAGGTCCAGCTGCAGCGAAGTCCCATACAGCAAGGGCGCCGTGCTCATGAAGCAGCTTGGTGACAGCCTTTGTATCACATCGAATACCTGTGACATTGGAAGCTGCAGAAAAGGAGGCAAGTTTGAGGGGGCGGTCTTGATACTGGAAAAGCTGTCGGACAAGATCTTGTTCATCCAACAGGCCTGTCCTGGGATCTTGAGGTATGACAACACAGTCAACATTGCCCGACTCGCGCCAGAGTAGTTCATTGGAATGGTGCTCTTGGGAAGAGATGAAGATGACACCACGCTGGGCAGGGTTCTTGGTTGGGGCGGAGAGAGGTGAAGCCCCCAGGACACCTGCCAGCTTGTTCATGGCACCAGTGGATCCGGATCCACAAAAGATGACAGCATACTTATCTTGAGGGGCATTGCAGGCTTTCCGAATCCTATCACGAGCATCTTCCCGAAAGCGAGTAGTCTGTAGACCAGTTGCTGAAGCTTCTGTATGTGTGTTTGCATAGAAAGGCAAAACACAGTATTGGATATAGTCTTCAATGAGGGACGAGGCTCGTCCACTGGCGGTAGAGTCTGCATAGACGATGGGCTTGGGACCAAAGGGACCATGCAGGACATGGTACTGGCCTCCAATGATGCTCTTGCGGATGATCTTGGGGCTCAAAAGGGGCGTGATGTTGGCGTCGAATTTCATGTTGTCGGGCAGTGGAGTGGAACGAAGATGTGTTGGGAGTTGAGAACCGGCGCAATCAGTTTTGCTTTGTTACAACGAGAGTTTTGGTTTGTGTCTTGCTCGGGACGATCGAGCGAAGCAATTTATGATGAGACTTGGTTGGATGGATGAGTTGCTTGCATCTCGGACGGAACCGGGGTGTTCCGAGCTTCACACCCAACAGTATGGTACGGAACCCACTGGTATGTAAACTTACTTGGTTCATTTACGGTGGAGACATGCTTCGACAGAAGGCATCTTACGGGGATAAGGTACATGTAACGTTCACGGTGGAGACAGGTTTAGCTACTGGTAGGTAGTTTTAAAATTAAGGGTTGAAGGAAGGCTTTACGATGAATATTGAATATTATGATATCATATCAAACATCATTTTAATACCGCACCTAGGATTCGTGTTACTCTAGAGCTGGTACGGGGACTTGTTGGACCAGCCTTCTAGAGACCTTGTAGACCGCAACATCTTGTGTCTCGGATGCCTCAGACCATTCAGACTTGTATAAATGTCCTACCGGTACCGGTACTGTACCTGAGCGAAAACCGTCGGACGGTCTAGGTGTCTTCTGTGCCACCTCAGACTTGCATATCGCCAGCTCGTCGCCCTACCGGTACTAGTTAGTACCTACTCGAGAGTCCCAGATCGCGTGACGCTGTACCGACCCTTCCAGACGACGTGCTCAGCGGTGTGAATCCTTCCAGATTTCCTTCGCAGTCCACCTTGGATCTGTGGCCAATCTGTTGTCAATCTGGCTCCCCACGTGTGTCCGATGTTGTTGACACTCCTTGGTGTCATGCGTCCTTCTATCCAGTATTTCTGTGATTTCCTGGCATTGGTCTGTGCAAGAAACGCTGATACTGTCACGGTCAAGTTGAATGTGTTAAAATTGCGATATTCCTCTGTCGATTCCAATGGACAGCCAATGGACAGCAGAGGTAGCAGGCCAGATCGTTACAACCAGAAAGCAAGTCGCATGTATGGCCTGTTGGAACGGATGAAACTCGAGTTAGATGCTCTAATTCCCAGATAGACCAGGCAGATTTTTCTTGTGCGAGCCCACTTCACTCGCAGAAACCATAATGATACTGTAGAAAACGTTCCCTTGGATGTGAATCATGATTGCTTTGCTAATTCTGGGTCTACCATGCACCAGCCAGTTTAGTTGCAGAGTGACCAGACTGTACAAAGCAGCCTTGTTTGATTGCAAGGTTGACAGGCCAGCGCTGTAGCCTCTTACTTTTGTCTCTTGTGTTATCTCCATCCATGTGACAATCAAAACTGAGTGCGGGTTCTATCTTTTGAAACGGGGTACATGAACTCGTAAGCAAGCGGTGGCTCGTGATGAAAGGATGCCTTAGGCCAGGATGTGATATAAAACAGTAACGGTACACATCATCAGCGTCTCTTGTTCACCAAAAAGTTCAATGAATGCTCATGAACTGGTTCAATGAACCGTGTTTATGAACCGTTCATGAACGCTAGTTCATAAGTTTAGCCAGCTCATGAACAGTTGTTCATAGCTCACAATACCAAATTCAATGCAAAATCGGGCCATTTTAAGCCAATTTGAGGTTCATGAACAGTTCAAATAGCCAGTTCATAACTATTTTCAGTTAAGCAGGTTCATGAACTGGTTCAGTTCACTTATGTAACCATTTTGTGAGCCATTCATGAACCTGGCTCAGTACCACAATGTTTGTGAACAAGAGACGCTGCACATCATCTCAACAGGCTTCCAAAGCAAAAGTCCCACGTGTACCCATCAAGGCTGACGCGTGCACTATCCATCCTAGTCACTCGGGGAGTTCTGTAGGCATGTGGAAGAATCGGAGTTGCAGTCATGGCAGCATTCGTGTGTCATTGGGCGTGTCGTACCCATTCCATATTGGCTTTTTGCTCCAACAATAATTGTTCTGCTTCAAGTTCTTTTCCTTTTTTAAATAAAATTCCTCTATTTCCATTTTTAGTTTTAGTTGGACCCGTAATGCTGTGGTGCTCCAAGCAATGCTACCCCAACAAAATGCCGAGCAAAAACAAGAAGCCGACTGTTTTGCTTCATGGCAGTCCCAAGCTTCCCAAAAACGGTAACGGTACTCGTAGCTATGTAGCTATTGCTCAAACAAACAAATCATGATGGGGCCGCATGGACTCGAATCTACCTATGGCCCAGAGCATACTACCGGTACCCAAGTTAGAGCCAAAGGGTCGGCATCCTCAACGGGTACGGTATGGTGGCCAATCGGCCAGCTAAGAAACGCTTGTATAGGTACTTCGCTCGCTCCCAGCCTTCATCTGATCATCATGCGTCATCTTTGCCCAGCTTCGCAGGTGCTGCATGTGAACGGTGGAACAGTGGCTGGGTCTAGCTAGCTGGTACATGTAGACTAGTCGATACGGTAGTTTTTGTAAGGTTTTTCTATGTACAAAGGAACATCTGGCTGATAGTCTAGGTAATCAAAAGAAGGGTAACAGGGATCGGCAAACCAGCCAGCATGGAAAGCAACTCAATGGATGGATCTAGGGAAAGCATGACAAAAGTAGACCCATCGCAAAACTTGGATTGATTCAGGCGGCTGCCAGCCAACCATTCAAAACGCAGCTCTCCGTTCGAAGGATTAGCTGACTGGAAGGCTGTACAGGAACACTTGATATGTAGACGAGGACTGACCATTGGCATTTCGCCTCCTCAGTCACTCCTTGCTCCTTGCTGTACTGTAGCTCTTACCCACCCACAGCAATCGCCAATAGATAGTCGAGGCCCCGTCCTTCTTACTGGGCCTCAAACTCATCAGAGTGGTCGTTCCTTGGCACGGTGCCTCCTCCTCCACCACGAGAAGAAGAGGAAGATCCATCCAGGTCCGAAAAGTCGTCGTTCTCTAGCATCTCAAGTACGTCTCGAAGAATGGATTGGACGTGTGACAAGTCCATGGGTCTCTCTGGCGCCGGAAGCGGGGGGTTGCTGGAACCTGCTCCTGATGAATGAAACATGAGCTGCGGGAGGGATACCGGAGGCGATGCCAAGGCAGTTGTGGTTGTAGTCGTCGTGGTCCTCTCGCGCTCTTCATCTTCCGAGTCACTGTCTTGACGGCCTCGTCTGTTACCGTGGTTCATGGGGTCATTCTTACCGAGGTTGTGGTTTTCGCGAGGCATGATTACTTTTTTTGATGGCTTGATTTTGAATCTTTTTCTCTATTTGTGAGGTCTCGTTGGCGTGTTCAGCAGCGGGCTATGGATAGTTGCCGATTAGTTCCAATGCTGGGAATTCTATAGTTAAAGATGCTTCAGCGATAGATGATGGATGGGTTGGCCAATGGCAATCAATTGTTTGAAGCAAGATGGTGGGGCGTTGTCCAAGGGAAACTTGATTTGAGTGCAACGTTTTGGTTGGCTGCCTCAAACTTCAAACTTTTATGGTTGTGCAATCTTTCTGAGTGACTGAGTGGAATGATCATGTTGGCTCGAGAACCTCTGACGTATGAACATTTTGTTATTGGTCCTCTTCGATCTCCCAGCTGGCATTTTCGGAAATCTTCCGCATCATAAATGAGAGGTCATTGTGTTATGCCCACATTGAAGCCAACGGGTCAGCATCAAGAAAACTAACTCTGACGTAAGCGTGGGAGTCTAAAAAAAGAGATAGAAAAGTGACTTCGGTAAGAAGAAAGAAGGGCAGTTCAAAGGAAAAGAAGCCAGAAAAGGATTCGATTTCTCCCCACGAATAAACAAACAGGATCTATTGAGGTTCATGGTTCTTTTCTCATATGATGAGCTGATGATGTCATTCAAGCGTTTAACCAGTCTTGGATTGGAGTGGAGGGGGTCCACGTGGAGGTGGTTGAAGGCGGTGGAAGTCGATCGAAAGCGGTTGAAGGTTGAAGGTGGTAAACCATCCACACAAGGTCGGAAATGGCTGGAAGACAACGCAGGTAGATGCGGTATATTTTAAAATTAAATACAAACATTCAGAGTAAAATGTAATTTTAACCCCTTGTTTACCCCAACTTTCATTTTAAACCTGTCTTCCTGGACCTTCGCGTGGACGGTTGCCCAAACATGTTTTAGGTGCCACTCTGGCCAGCCTCCCTGGCTTACCGGTACCAGTAGCTCTAGCTAGCTAGCCACTGGACTATCTCTAGCTAGCAGTACAGTACGATGCAGTTGGGAAGCAACAATCGCTACTTTAAAAAAAAAGCCAACTCTCATGTTCAACCTTCCCGAGAATCTTGGCAAAGTACGCCCCGGTAAAAAATAACAAGAATCCATCTCCAAGGGAAGCTACTGGCTGGCTACTAGTAGCTAGCTAGCTAGTGTTGGAACTTCACCTCGGCAGTCTTGCTGCCAGAGCCCTCAACCCCTTTAATTGTTTTTCCTGCTACGGTGGTCCCTGCAGGTATAAGGGTAGGGTTAGAATACAAATAAGTCAGCAAAAACTAAATAAGTTTCCTAGCTAGCTAGAGGATGGTGCAAACCAGCTAAAGCTATTTACATCCTTCCGAGTAGGGGGCGAAAGCTATAACTAGTATTCTAGCTAGCTAGGGGTGTCTGCTTCTAGCTTGCTATGGGAATCTGCTTCTAGCTAGGGGGAATTAGCTTCTAGCTAGCTAAGCAAAAGTTAACCACTAGCTAAGCACTACAGGTATCTGCTTCTAGTTAGCTAGCTATAGGGGTATCTGCTTCTACACTGAAACCTTCTGCCGAGGTTACACAGCTCCGCTGGCTTAAATACTTTTTTGCAAACAATGGGATTCGATTCTTTTCATGAGGGCGTACTGCCCTGAGGGGTTATGGAGGTAGGCTGCCTCTCAGTAGTGGAGCTATGACTTTGGAATCAAATTGTCAACATCTCTGGTTGCGGACGGAGATCTTATTATACAGTAGGTCTAGCTCGCTCCCACTGTATTTTGCTCTCGACTCAATGTAAAAACGGTCCTTACTTGCTGAGGATATGAGGCCAGCCACCGAATGCCATCTACAGCCCCACTTCAAAGCAAAAGTCTGCTCAAAAACGAAGGAAAGCTTGACGGCTTGCTGATTGCTGAGGTACGCCACGTGGCTTCAGGAAAAACGCTTTCCACTAATAATTAGAGCATAAATAAAGAGATCTACCGTGGCTTGCTCAATTGAGCCCTCGGTAGAGGAAGGAACCGCGGACCAAGAAATTGGCTTATCCACGGAAGTAGCTCTATCGATCTGGAAAGCTCGCATTGCCCTTTCCATAAATAGTTCCGTTCTGATTTGCAGTCCAGTAATTGACTGGAATCGAATGGCAACCAATAGAGACACAACGACACAACACCAAGTGCCCCCAAAGCGGTGTGGAAACTGAAACTTACTTTGTCTGCTGGCTGGCAACTCGGGCAATTGATCCGTAAAAGTGAGTCAAGAGGCTGTGGAAGTCGTTTTTATGCCCATGTGTTTGTGACCCATACGCTCAGCACCGTTTTCTAGCTAGCCAGTGCTGCACGGGGGTCTATGGTCAAGAAGGGGACCATGGCAGGGTTTCGTTACCGAACGAATACATGCACTATTTTACTCTTCCAAATTGACCCTCCACATACATGTAGAACCAAACCAAAGAATGCCCCAATGCTTTGCAGCTAAAACTACTGCATCGCTTGTGAGCTTACGTTGTCAGCCATCCCCAATAACTTGATGGTCTCTCGTCTGAACTTTCACTGGGAAGATTGTTGTTGAAGATTCATTCAAGGTTTGATCTCCAACTCCAACACAGCCGGCCCATGATCACTTCCCATTTGCTCTGGAATCATGTAGGAATCACGTGCCACTACCTTCGAGTTGTCTGCATCCAACATCTTTGAATCACAGACAAAGTAATCCAGGCGCAACCCTTTGTTGGGTTCTCGGTTACCAGCCCGCTGACTCCAATAGGTATAGTGTCCTTTGGCATTGGGGTGAAAGTGGCGAAAGGCATCGACAAAGCCGGCATCCAGTTGCGCTTGGAAGGATGCTCGTTCCTGCGCCGTCAATCCTGCCTGCTTGTCCAAATGCTTGGCCCCAAAGTTGTATGCCTCGTAGTGTTTGTGTGCCACATTGAGATCACCCAACCACAGGACGGGGACACCACGCTCCTTTTGCTTGGCTTGCATAAATGCCAACAGATCCTTATCCCATTCTTCCGTGCGGTAATCCAAACGCTCCAGCTTTTGTCCCGAATTTGGCACATAGAGATTGGCCATGGTGAATCCAGGAAAGTCCAGGACAATGACACGGCCTTCGCCATCGTGCTTTTTGGCTCCCAATCCATAGGTGACTTGTTCTGGAACCAAGAGTTTGGGATCCACGGGGAGTTCTTCTGCTACTGCAGCTTTCGCTTTGGAGTCATTCTTCTTCTTCTTCTTTTTGCCAAAGAAACTGGTAATATCCATTTGTTGTTGTTTGCCCGCTGTTTTCTTGCCTGCAGCACCTCGTCGCTTGACAAAGACGGCAGTTCCCGCATAGCCTTTCTTGGCCGTAGCACAACTATAGTAGGCATCGTATCCCTGCTCTTCCAGCAAGTGTCCCCGTAGTTGCAATTTTGGATCATCGAGATGAGATTCTTGGAGTTTGGTTTCTTGGAGGCAGAGAATGTCAATGTTGTGGTTGGTCACCAGAGTAGCCAACGCATGGGGATCCTTCTTGAGAATGGCACGAAGACCCGCCACATTCCAGGTGGCAATTTTGAGCGTATAACTGCCATTGGCTTTGGCCTTTTCGTCACTCCAGAGTTTGGGCAATTCGTCTCGTTCCGTGATGCACTGAACGGGAGCTTTCTTGCTCTTCTTTTTGGGGACTTCCTTTTCCTTCCCATCGGCGTCATTGTCGTCGTTTTCCGTCTTCTTCTTCGTCTTGGCCGCTTTCTGTTTGGTGGCTTTTGTCTGCTTTTTGGGACGCTCCACTGCTTCGTCATTCATTTCACTTTCGCTGTCGATTGTCTTTGCTGTCTTTCTCTTTTTGGGAGCGGTCTTTCTTGTGGTATTCACTTCATCATCAATATCGTCTTTTAACACTGGCGTAGATACCTCAACCGTGGGCTTGTCGTCCTGGCCAGTCGACTTTAGCCTCGGGGAAGAGCGAGGCATAGTGGCGGTAGATTTTAGACGGCGATTCTTTCGAAGTGGCGGAGAAGGACTATTGAATGAATGAATAAATGGAGACAAGTTCAGGTCAGCCAAGAAGTAATGGACGGCAGCGGAAGTCGAGGCAGCGGAAAAGGATAACACAGGCTGGAGCTAATGGCGTGGTGGGGCAAGTGACAGCGAGGTGCAGTTGCTCTTGGCGTCTTGGTCGGCCTCGATCTTTGGCGCGAGGAATTGATGCCATCTTTCGCCGCGCCTCGAAATCGAATCTTGTATAAAAACGGTCCGCTAAATTGAAGATCGACGGCCGCGCGCTATGGACGCGCAATTCCGAGGCGAAGCCGAGTGCGGCGCGTACAGTAGCGCGCAGGCCGGAGATCTTAAGACGAGGACGAGGCAAGACCGAGACAAAGCCGAGGCGGGAAGAGGCCATTGGCCTCTCCGCCGAGTGCTGCAGTCGAGGTCGCAGCGGAGACCGAGGCTGTCAATGAAGAGGGCCGTCATTTGTATGTAATCTGTACAGTGATAATCCGAGGGATGTAAGCTTACTCGTGTAGCGACTATTGTAACTGCATTGTTGCCGATCGCTCGAAGCTGTCATAGTTGACTGCTAGTTGTTGTTGCCGATGATGGACGATGGATGTTGACCGCTCGAAGTGTCGATCGACTGTTGCATTAGTGGTAGAGGCGCCAATGTAGAGTGTTTCGGCCGTTGTCGAGGAGTAAACGTGCATAGCTTTCGCTGTTTTTCGTTGGTTGAATTTATGGAACTGACTGCGACTGAAGAGGTTGTTTCGTGTGTCGGAGTTGTTCTCATTTGAATCGACTGTTGGGTCTCTCTTAACCTGCCGTTAGACAACAACCAGTACTCCAGCAACAAGTCCAATTTTCCATCCTCTCGTACAAGAAATAGCTATACCAATTGCATGAGAATGTGGAAAATTGTTGTTGCAGCTGTGGATACGGCGTTTGTCGATTGCCTGAAGCTGCAATGCACATGGTCGCTGTTTCGCCCGCACATCTTGGAGATGCCTTTTTCCAGTGAGTGTTCTTTTCTTAAAGGGATTTCCAAAGATGTGGGATTTATTTTTGTACTATTTTAGTCTGCACAAGCCATCCTAGGACATACGTTATTGAAAACAGCACTAGGAAAAGAAACCGTCTTGAGAAACCGTTGATTCTTGCGAATTTTTCTATGAAATAAGCAGTAAGATGCAATTCACGACTGCTTTTCCGTTAACTCCGGGAAGCACATTCGAAACGGCTGAAACACATGATGCCAAATGGGAATTCCCTTACTTTATCATGCACGTCTCATCCGGCAAAATAACTGTCACGTAGAAAATGTACTAGCTCTACGAGGATATCACCGGACAGATTACCCTGCCCTTCGAGCCATCGGAATGGCATCCGATCCAATGACGCGAGCACGCGCGGATTTGGAAATCTCAATTCAAAGGAGGGGGTGTTGTACAAGTAAAGTGCGAGCTACTACCATACCAATACCTCGCCAATCGCTCCTTCTCAGTGTTGGGTCCTTGGTTTCTCTTTGATTTGATGCCGCGCTGCTGCCGATGCTTGCACCTTAGAACAGAACTTCAGCTGAGTACCAAACTGAAGCTTCTTGTCAATCAGTTCCAGCTGCATTCGAGTCGGCTTCGGCCAATGAACCAGTTTTGCTCACCAATAGTATCTCAGTTGCTTTCCCTGTGGCCTATGCATGTACCAGATTCTGGTTTTCAGAGTTGAAATGTATTTTGGTTACATTTATGTGACTGTGGCTATTCCACCCAGCTACAGAGAGTCATCACATTTGTGCTTCGACAGGTCTTGGCGACACATCCAGTACTAGTGAACCACGTCCTCCCTCTCCTCTCACCGTGAAAACTGATTGGATGGCTACCGGTACCCATCGACTTTTACATGTACGACGGAATTCGGGCGCGATTTCTCTTCATCATATCTCGTCTCAAGCCAGATTCGGTGTGTGGTACCACCGCCATCTGGACTGTGGTCATGGTCAGTGTAAACCATCATCCATCTACTGGTACCACCATCAGGTAAACGAGGGGGGTTTAGAGTAGGAGGATAGTCTACCGAAGTAGGCTGAAGCAAAGAAGAGTCGAAATTCAGGACTATGTTCCGTGGGATCAGGGGCAAGAAATTGAGGACCAGTACGGGGGCCAAAGGCCAAAGGGTTTGGCTTTGTGAAATCCGCGGAGACATAAATGGGTAGCTTCAGGTTGCAGGGGTTTTGAGCAGGTTCCTGCATCCACAAAGGGTTTTAGAGTAGGGAAGTTATCTACGGTGGAGAACAAACACCGTCTTTGGTCTGCACAAGCAAGCTTGGACTACGTTGGGAGCAACACTTGGCCGCACCCGCAAGAAGGCCAACGCCACCTAGCACCACTCCAATAATGGCACTTGGACCAGCTCCCAGCCAGGAGAACACCGGAGGCATCCTCCCCAACCCCTCAACCGCATCCCGTGCGTACGGGCCATCCCGAGTCCTGAGGAAACAAATGTGGGAGAACTACTCCTGGCATAGCCCACTTAATTAACGGTACCGAATGGAAGAGGCTTGTCCAAGCGTATCTATCAACATCCTGCTTTCACTTCCAACAACTTCACCTGTATGTCCTACAATACTATCATCACAGAATCTTGGCAGTCTCAATCCACCCACCCAACATGGGTATCACATCTAGCCATGCCGAGGCACCATCCATGGCAGCCACACACATCAAACCGCTCAACACGGCCGGTGCAAATCCGTCCACCGTCACATCCTGTCCGACCAAATACATTCCGTCCGGCAGAAGATCTACTTTGGGTCTCAACCAAGTGGCGTCCGCCTTGGCCTTGGCGATAGTAGGTGGAATCCCATAGCTGGCTCCCGTCAACCGACCCAGATAGGTCCTTGTATCAACGGGAGTACCCAAGTCAATGTATTGTACTTTTCCTTGGACCTGCGGGTATTTGAGATACAGCAAGTCCAATAGCCGTTTTTCAAAGCTCTGCTTGAGTTGATTGTAGTCGTCTCCCCGTTTGTGGACACGGGTATCCTTCCATTGTTGGAACCATTCCCAGGGCACATCTCCCGCAACAAACGCAGCCGTCACAATGCCATCCCCGTAGCGGTCCTTGTAGGCTGGATCCTTGAGCGATGGGAATGCCAGACCGACATAGCCAAAAGGTTGTTGTGTTGTGTGATCTTGTTTGGAAAAGGCATCGGCACTTTGGCGAAGCGCATACGATGGCAAGAACCAACAATTGCGTTTGGGTATATGGAGAGACGACGATTCCTTGGTTGGATCGTATCGAATGCCCACGAATCCGTAAATGTGTCCCTTGCCGTACGGCAGTTCTTCCAAGAGACGACCCAGCTGTTCGCGTCGTTCGGGCGATAATGGGTCGACGATTGTGGTTGGCGCCTTTTGGCCGGAGAATCCAGAATTGATAGCCGCGGGTCCCGGATCGTCTGGTGTTCGCAAGAGTCCCTGCACGGTTTCGCGCAATCCAATGGACGATATCACCACGGGAGCTTGGACGATCAATCCTTCCTTGACCAACTGCACCCCCGTGACTTTTCGATTGTTATTGTTGTCCACCAATATTCGATCTACACCCGCCCGGACCAAGACACGCCCTCCGTGTTGTTCAATGGTGTGTACCATGGCGGCTGCCACGGATTTGGACCCGTGGACGGGATAAAAAGCTCCATTGCGAAAGTGCACGTGCAATCCCAACAATACGGCCGTGGTGAGTTCATCGGGACAAACGGCACAGCACCCCAACGAGAGATATCCCAGGACTGCCTTGAGCCGTTCATTGTTTGTCAATGCATCGAGTTTGTCGGATGCCCGACTGGTGTGATAGGGGAGACACGGTGCTGCCAGAAATGGTTTGGTAATCCAAGCCAACCAACTGTGCTGTGGAAAGGATCTCCATATAGAATAGGGCAATCCAGTTTTCATATAGGCATCCATGTTGGCAAAGTACGTGTCGATTGCTCGCTCTTCTTCTGGAAATGCGGTTTTGAGTGCTTGCTTCCATTGGTCGTTTCCTACGGGAACATCAAAGGGTTTATTGTTGCTGTTGTTTGGACTGGAACTGGAATAATCCTCATTCAGGAAATGTACTTGATCGTAAATGCCCGGTTGCACGGGACATTCGGAAATTGCGGACCACGTGCATTTTCCACCCGTAATGTACTGTACAATTTTATAGAGCGCTTCCGTGGGCGCCAATTCTCCGGAATAATGAAATCCGGTATCAAATTCGTAGACTCCCTGTTCGACAAAGGAATGCAATCCTCCTCCGGCTCGATCGTGTTGTTCCAGTACCAACACGCGGTAGCCCTTTTGGGCCAACAACGATGCCGTGGCCAGACCCGAAGGTCCCGATCCCACGATAATGACATCGGCGTGCGAGGGAAGATCTCGCTTTTTCAATCCTCGCTTGAGTGGGTCGTCTTCAGTATCGTTAGTAGTTGAGAGTGGAGGAAAGGGAGGACAGCGGGATCGCTTTCTCCTACTTCGAACGAACAGACTATGCAGGACAATGGTGGTACCCACAGTAAGGGCCACAGTGGTCGCAACGGTTGTGGGAAAAGATCTTGTCATTGTCCCTTGCTAGCTAGTGTATGGCGAAAGCTATAGCTCTATCGAATCACCTATCGCGTTAATACTATACTGGTTGGGATCTCAGCTGGTGTTTGCGAAGAGGAGCACCCGAGTGAAGGTCAGCAGCTGACTCGACTCGATCATCACCGTCGAAGAGGTTTCTTGTGCTTCTTTGTATCTGCGTCGTTGTGTCTTTGGATGTTTGGGTGATGCAAGCCAGTTAGCCTGCTTGAGTATATGGTACGGACGAAGGATTGAGTGCGGCTTCGTCTCCGTCTGACAATACTAGCTAGAGTGATCTGCGCATTAAGACCCACCCCAGATTAAGACTATCCTAATAAATAGAGGTACGTACGTAGGATCCTACGTAGACTCAGTACCAGAGCCTTGGAGGTGCTTCCTGAGGGGCCACGTAGGATCTTACAGGATCCTCTACGTAGGATCCTACGTAGATGAGTACCGTGGAGTCTTAATATGCAGATGAAAAGAATTCGTGTCAAAAGTGAGGATAATTTCAACTGCTCATAACTCCACCAATAAGTACACTGTGAGGTTGCGAATTTTGTGGCATACTCAACTACATGTGTTCTATCGATTCCACCCTTTACATGTACTATATTCCATATACAGACATGAAGAGAATATTCCGCGGAACGGTCGGTCTTAATGCCCAGATCACTCTAGTAAGTTTAAAGCCAGAATCTAATCTAAGGTAGCCTGCTCGCGCTACCAGCTAGTACATCTAGAAAGCATCAGTTAAAACAGGGGTTCCTCTTACGTAGCATACCTACTGTTGCCAAATCAGAGATGTTATCCAGTGAGCAAATTGCTCTGCCTTGTTGGAGAAAGAAGTCCAATACAGGAGCTATCATTAGTTTTAGAATCGGCAGTCCCACTTTGCTTTGAATCTTGCCCTCAACGGACTGAGGGTCTTTCACACTTTTATCGCTGTATGTGTGTGTGTGTGTGTGTGTGTGTGTGTGTGTGTGTGTGTGTGTGTAGGTGTAGGTGTGTGTACGTTGAGTGTTGTGTGGTGTTTGATGTTTGTTTGCAGCTGTTTTGTCACATAGGACACTTTCACGTAAGGATAGGGATTAATATTGTGTTCACTGGACACAGAGTTTCAACATATGGTACCAGTCTGGCTGGCTATGCAGACTCACTAGTGTGTCCAGATAAACACGGTGTAAGTTTTGCCAAAGACATAAGGGACATTTTCCTTGTAAGGATAGGGATTATGTATTGTGTGTCTGTTGGACACAGTACTTGACCCTTACTGGTGGCTATGGAGACTTGCAAGTGTGTCCATTGAAAGGTAAAGGATTGACCAAAGATGTTAAGGATTCGATTGGGAATCCAATAAATCTCTTTTTGACAGTGAGGCATCAGCCCCGGCTCTTGTTCTTTGAACCCCAAATAATATTTGCGTGCGGTACCAGGTACTGACTCTGTGGAAAGTCATTCTGGCAAATACTAGAGACGATACACCGAGGAATAGGAGACGATGAAAGGATTTAAGAGACGAAAGAATCATCTCCTATATTTAGGAGACGATTCAGAGGAGACATTCCAATAAGGAGACGAAAATTTCGAAATAGAGACGATCTGAAGATAGGAGAGAACATAACAGTTACATGTAACTTAGGAGACGATCCGTTGAGATAGGAGACGATCCGTTGAAATAGGAGAGATTCAAGAGGAGACGAAAGATTTAAGAGACGATCGTTTCGTCTCTATTTTTAGGAGACGAAATCCTTAAATAGGAGACGATCAAAAGATTAGAGACGATCGGTTGCACGACTGAGTTTCCACAGAGTCCAGTAGACCCCAGAAGATGCGTATGAATGATGAATCTTCAATCATGATCATGGAGCTTACCGGTAGGTCTTTTTGGAAGGCGGCCGCTGTGGAAACCTTCACGTAAGAACACCTCGGGAGTTGAATTTCTCGTTTCCAAGCTCCGTAAATCACTGAGTCACACTTCAAAGTCATCGGGAAGGTGCGCCCAGAGGTGCTCCAACAGGGATCATGACGCGGCATATCTTCGCCCATTGCAGTCTTTTTCAAACAAAACAAAAAGCGAAAATGGGAGTCTATCATGCCATCGTCATCCTGCTGCCTTTTTTGTCCATTTCAAATCTGTGCCAAGCATTCCACCCTTCTGTGAGAACAAGCCCTTCGATCTTCACACTTCACATCATCATCATCAACATCTCCAGAATGTCTGCCACCGACAACCTTCCCGTTTCTTACATCGAACCATCGGGTGTCTTGACGCCCGCAGCGGCCATGATTGGAATGACTGCCGCTCTCAAAACGGCCGCTCAAGCCAAATGGGAAGTAACGGTTTGTATCTGCGATGCGGGTGGTGTCCCCATTCACGTTCAGAGAACCGCCAATGCATTCCCAGCATCCTATGATATCGCTTGTGGCAAGGCCAAGAGTGCCGCCCTGTTCCGAAAGGAAACGGGGCTATTAGAAGACAGTGTCAACGGAGGTAGATCGGCGTTACTATCCTCTCCATTTGTGCTGATGCGAGGTGGTATCCCTGTCCTCTGGAATAATGGAACACAAGCATGCGGTGCCGTAGGAGTGAGTGGCGTCCAGGCAGACCAAGACGAAAGGGTGGCTAGAGCAGCAGTGGATGCCATGACGGCGGCGTTCTCCATGTCGCCGAGATCTAAACTTTAGAGAAATCCACGTTGCAGAGGTCAGCTAGCTAGCTAGCTAGCTAGCTTGATATTTGCGCTTCGCCACGCGCGGGTCTACGTACACTTGCTGGTGGTTGGGGCGCCCGAGTCCATGCTTCGTTGTCATTTTTCGAATATGCAAGCAATGCCTCAGCGCTGTTGTGTTGAAGCTGCCAGACTCTGGCTGCAATGCGTCTTTTGCTTCTGAGCAAATTTTATTATTCATCTTATCTACTTATTCATATCTATCTGTTTATCTGTATATTGTTTGCAATTACGTGATGGACTTCATCCGGGGTCATGGCTCGCACCGCAGCCTCGATCAATGAAAATTCTGCTTCCTTGCGTTTCCGAAGTTGGAGGTATTGGTACACATTATTTATCATTCTCTGCCTGCCATCTTCTGCCGTTGGAATTTTATAGAGTTCATCAATACGACGTCCCTCAAACCCCTGTATTTGATGTCCTAAATGATGACGTTCTTGTTGCTCCTTTGTCAGAATTCTCTTCCACAAGCCCCACCATAAACTCACGACGGAGGGTGAATTGAGAATAAAGACATCCTTTTGATTTTTGGGATATGCTTTGAACAGGTGATGCATAATTTTGTCAAAAAACTCTGCATCAAAGGACCCAAAGCCTGCCCCCTCACATTCACACATGATTGTCCAACCTTCTCGAATGGCCACAAAGTTTGGGAGGACACTATTTTGTAGGTAATAAAGGGCGGCAAGATAGGTCCTCAAGTCATCATCTGTTTTGATCTGTTCTTTGGGGAGAAGTTTGGCAAAATCCAGTACCAACATGTAATTCTGTTGCTGTGACACATGCTCTACCGCCAGCCAGACTCCGGGACACAGGAGAGACAATTTATGCACCACTTCGGCTCCTTCCTTGGCATTGTCGTGGATCTTGTATTCTTGTCGAAAGCATTGCATCAGGTAGATGCGCTCCAGAACTTGTTCCAGAGATTCTTCCAATTCTGCTGTAAGGGCATACTGAACGTACTCAAAATCGGACCGATTCTGCAGTCTGGCGTCCGCCTCTACACTCGCCTTGATGTCCACAGCCCTGGCCAACTCCTGCTCGGAAAGCAGCATCAAGGGATCCACTGGCTTGGATTTGATCACATTGAGGCTCTGTGCCACTTCTTCTCGATCCATAGTTGTCTCTAACTAGCTAGCTACTAGACAAGTAGTACACCATACACCATACCACGCACTCAATCAATTCTTTGGGCCTCTGGCTTGCCTGTGGTCGGTCGCCGTCCCCTGTCCCCTGTTGCCTGTTCCTGTCCGCTGTTTCCTTGCATGTTCTGGGCTTTCCAGTGGTCTTGGAACTTGAGGGTTCAGGCTAATCATCTGTGATTCAATCTATCATACAGCCCTGCCGCAATTATTGTATTATTGTACTGTACCGGTACCGCTGTACCAGTACTGTACCTGGTACTGTAAGTTACATGGTTGAAAGAACTTGAATGAATGTCGCAGAATTCAGAAAGGGAGTCTGCTGTGGTACGGAATTACTTATGAAAGTGGAGCTGGGGCAGTTATCCACGGGGAAGGCGGGGAGGTTCTTTTTTCCCTTTTCCGAGGGCCTTCCCATCCTTCACCCTGTGTTGCCACCAGGAGCTCCACCAAGCAAAATGGAAGCTCAGAATGGCGAAGTGAAGCCACGCAACTAGCTAGCTAGCTAGAAAGGTGATGCAGCCTCCTTCCTGCCTGGCTCCTGTTCTCAGGGGGAAGGTATTTTCATATACGGTATCTGTCCACTAGCTCGCTAGCTAGCTATCACGAGCCAACATCCAAGCAGCCATTACAGGTACCGGTATCTGAGTCCACTAGCTAGCTACCGGTAGCTACCAGGAAGTAGCCAACCTTTTCGGTATAATAACACCTCGCGCTTGACGATCGATACTTTGTTCCCAACATGGAGGCCAAAACGCAGAATGACCATGGCGCTGTGACTGGTGAAGGTGTCGTCCGTAAGGAAGAGGCTGCCGATGTTGGCGTCAGCTCTTCCATCACCGCCGGAGAAGAATGCCATGAACGTGTCATTCGTAAAGCAGAGGCCATTGCTGTGGACCACGATGCTCTGATCACTTCCATATCCAGTGGAAACAACACCATGAGGAAATCGGGGGCGGCGACAGTTCAGCAGCCGGATCATATGGACACGTTCCGCGAGATTGCACCCCTCCCGCCGCCGGTACCGTTGGGTCGGGGAGATATCCGTCGTCCCGCAGCTACAAGACCTGGTGCCGTCGCTGTGGGGGGCGACTACGACTATATGGTGGATAATCCCCATGCGCGGCATTCGGATCCAGAAGCAACATCATCTGGCAGCAGTGGTACTGCCAATACCAACCAGCCAGAGCAAGGAGTGGGCAACACTGGAATGGCACGGGCCCGTCTAGTCAACTCATCGGAATTTGCGTTGCAAAATGCCGACCCGGTCCAAGAAGGCGATCTCCGTCTACTAACATCCAATCCAAGCTCCTCCAAGGGAAACAATGAGACCGATGGAAAAGAAGCATTGAAAATCATTCTTTTGATTGCTATTGCTGGAATTATTGTTCTCGGTCTTGTCCTGGGTCTGGTCGGCAACAAAGAGGAGGATGCAGCTGATAGTAGTGCGCCAATAACGATGGCCCCAACCGGAGTACCATCTTCTGCTCCTACGTCCTATGCTGCCACGTTGGGACTCCCCGAGTACACCGTGGACAAAATCATGAACGATGAGACCTCCCCCCAATCCAGAGCTTATGCTTGGCTCATGGACGATCCTAATCGGGAAACCTACCCCGAGCGGAAGATTCTCCAGAGGTTTGCACTGGCAACATTCTACTATTCAACCGGAGGACCCAACTGGGATATCAATGACAATTGGATGAACCATAGCCTGGATGAGTGCAAGGACTGGTTCTTTCGCACAGAAACAGATGGTTTGGACCCCACAACAAGAGATGACAAGATCATTATCACTTCTCCCTGTGACACATCCGGGAACTATCAGTATCTTTTGATGTCTGGAAACAATTTGGCTGGGAGGGTACCGGAAGAAATTGGAATGCTGTCTGGCTTGCTCGTTTTTGATTACTTCAAAAATGATGGCCTGGAAGGCAGCACCATCCCCACAGAGATTGGCCTTCTCACCAATCTCTTGAGATTGTCAGGTAAGGACACAATAAACGATTTGGGAAATCCATTCCTAGTAGTCAATCTCACCAATAAGGGCTATCCATCTTCGGTTCAACAGCTGACCGAAACTTCCATGGAGGGACGGTTCCTACAGAGATTGGCATGATGACTAGCCTGATTGAGGTGTACCTTGGCTACAACCCGTTTCCGTCACCCATCCCTTCCGAAATTGCCAACATCAAGAGTCTACAAAAACTCAATCTGAACAGAGCAGGATTCACTGGGACATTTCCTTCTGAGCTCTACACTCTGACCAATATGGTAGAGTTTTTCATCCATGGCCTTCTTGACCTTGAGAAAGCTACCTTGGAGGGCATTGGGCAAATGACAAACCTGGAAGCGTTATACTGCCACAACCTCCCCCTCCACAATACTCCCATTCCTACAGAGCTTGGCTTGGCCACCAAACTTGAGAAACTGAACCTATGGGATACTGGGCTCACCGGGACTGTCCCTTCGGAATTGGCCAATCTTCGCCAGCTCAACACGCTGGACCTTGATGACAACCAGCTGACAGGATCCCTCCCGGATTTCTTGTGGGAACTCCCTTTTTTAGGAGAGCTACTGTATGATGGAAACTTCTTCACAGGAACGCTGCCATCTCACACCTGGAAAAACCTGGCCGTAATGGAGTACCTGGCCTTCAGCGATAACCTACTGAGTGGGACCATCCCTACGGAGGTTGGACTTCTTCCAAGCATCCAAAAACTCCGCTTTGACCGCAATACATTCACAGGAGCCATACCAACAGAGATTGGTAATCTGACAACACTTGAGGAAGTGTTCTTCCACGGTACCTATCTTGAGGGCAATATTCCGTTGGAGTTTGAGGATTTGCTCTTTCTCGAAACCCTTACATTTTCCAATACTTCACTCACTGGTTCCATCCCAGCTGGTATCTGTGACAGTTTGGTGGATATATGGTTCAGTTGCCATACCAAGTTTGGCATTACCTTGCCAACCTGTACCGCAGTGGAAGTGGAGGACTTTGACTGTGCATCTTCTCTGCTCTGTGGCTGTTCCTGCGCGCCCTGTCTGGCAGAAGAGACAACCGGTGCTTTCGTCTTCAACATGACCTTTGATCCCTAGTAGCTGGAGTAGGGGAACGGGCAGCTAAAATAACTAAATAACATTGCATTTATCAATTAATAGAATCAGTGTAGTTGCGCACATGGACTGGCGTCCTTCTCTGGTTGAATAAGTGCTACACTGGACAGCTTGATCAAACCACCACTCGCTGCACCCAACAAATAATTATCCATGTGGATCCGTATCCCTCTAGATATGGGCAACCAAAGATCAGGTGCCAAGCAATAATGAGTGCACTCTCCTAGTCGATGAAAGCGATGGAACTGCGCTGAAAAGTCACGAAAGGGAATGAAGTAGAGATTGGAGCTTGATGTTCTTGCCGGTTGCTGCTGCTGTGGCACCACGAAATTCATGCCTATAGGTTCTGTGTGAGGCTTGGACATGCTCATACATTGCTGTGTGGTTGTGAATGGGGACACAACCATCCACTCCAGGGACAGTCTCATTTCATGCCCACCAGGACGGTTCCAATGCTGGGCAGACTGCTCCCTCCAAAAGATCATTTTTGGTGGCATGCTGGTACTTGTGAGAATTCCATTAGGAGGGTTGCATTCTCCGGTGATGGATTCTAATTCCCAAGGGAGCAAAGGAATGTGTGTTCAGCCTGCCACCATTCGTCCTCTGTAGTTTTCCCTCCAAGACTGACCTCAAGTTTGTGTATTCTCCTTTTGGTTTGCTTGCTGCAGCAGCCACTGGCTCGTCACTTCTTGTGGTGGCATCTACGCTTGTGCTGATCTGTTGTTTCGCTCGGCTCGGCTATTTGGTTCTCAAACTGACGCTCTCTCCAAGAGATATTATGACGGAACTCTTCCTTGAGCTGTGCCAATTCTACCTGAGTTTGTTCCTGTGTTGTTGTGATTGCTCTCAGAAGCTGTTTCTTGGCATCACTGAGCTCTGACTGCAGAGGCTACCGGTATAGAAGAAAGAAAACACACACAGGACAACGCTCCTCTCGCTGGCTGCGATTTGTTTAGGTCTGCGGTACCACAGTCCGTAGTATTCTGAAGGGTACAAGCTACCATGCAGCAGGAAGAAACCTATCAGAGTTAGGCAGGATATGTCTGCTAGCTAGGTACCTCGGACCTCGGACATCATCAGCATCAGACATCCACAACTCACAAGACATAGTTTACCGTACCGGCTTTCGGTAACTTGACACCCTACCGTATTGTACATGTTGTACTGTATCATGTACTATAGTAATAGAACTCCAGAGTTCATGTTGCAGAGGTATACTGTACTAGTACCCTCGAGCTCGACTGGAGCTTCCTTCTCAGCTTCTTCCTTGTCAGCTTCTTTGGCCACTAATCTTATCGAGGGCACTGCGTTTTCTTAGGGCGGTCAAATTGTCCCAGCAGCTACTGTGGAGTAGTCTGTACAGAGCTGTACAGTCTTTTTGTAAAAATAGGAGATGTACCGGTGGGCACTGATCACAGGAGTTATGGGACACTCCACCATGACTTACCTTTGGCTGTTTCGCTGGGTTGTGGATAAGGCTTATTTAAGTTTTTCAGTACAGTCGACCGCTTCTATTGGTTTCTGGCTTTTAATTAACAGAAGAAAGAAGTCCCGAAAATTAATGTCACCGATGTTCTTTTTCGGATTGAGATTCCATATTGTTATTACGCTCGTACCACAGTCAGCTCTCGATAATATTTCCTAATTTTGTATTTCCTTCTTGATAGTATTTACCTATTTTGAGGCTGAGTTCCTTAAATCTCTATGTCTTAGTATTTCTTTCTTGATAGTATTTCCTAAGCCTTGCCAGCACCCCAGGGAAATATTATCAAGAGCTGACTGCACTTGTACCGGTAGCTATGCCTACTAGAACCCAGCTACCGGTAACCAGTCGGAAATCAGCCATCCCTTGCGCTACTACTAGCTAGCTAAGGCCTCCTTCGAACTCCACACTCTCTGAAGACGTTGAAACACCACAGATCAACCCAAGATCGATATCTATTTTTCAACGATGGGGTCCGAAGAAGAAGGCAAGCTTGGTGAAAAAGGGACAGCAGAAGACCTGGATGTGTTTCAACAAGAACAATCCGTGAATCCTGGCGATGACGGCGGCATTGTCGCTCCTCGAGGACCGGACGAGGATACCACTCCCGCTCTGAACATGCAAGCCGAGAAAGAGGCTGCCAGTATCAGTGTTGGTGCCGCCCTTGCTGCAGGGGAAAGTCCTTCAGATTGTAGCCAACATCAAGAACCCCATGATCTGGAAATTGCCAACAAGACAAGCTATCATGTCGCTGAAAAACACTACCTCAGCCACCCACAGGAATCACAGGACTTTGAATTTGCCAAAGAAAATGCCCTTGCTGACTACGTTTCTAAAGAACACGAACAAGTAAGTGGGAACTTGCCGAGACTAGGTCATGTTACAGAGAACGTACCCAGCCTCGGGCAGGCGCCAGAGCCACCAACTCTCACCGTACAACGCAACATAAACCGTCGTCCCACCACACCTGGAGCTGTGGCCATTGGTGGCAATGGTCATATTTCAATGGATAGCGTTGGTCCTCCACCTGAGAATCATCCCGACACTCTCAACACGAACAGTGGTACTAACCAGCCAGTGCCAGCAATGTCCTTTGCTGGTCAAGGCATGCCATCAGCACAACTTGTGAATACAGATGAGGAGGCTAACATTCAAAATGCAGACCCGGTTCAAGAAGGTGATCTCCGTCTTTCAATGATGAGTCCTGAGGAAAGTAAGACCAATGGGAAAGAAGCATTCAAAGTCATCTTCTTGATTGGCATAGCTGGATTCATTGTTCTGGGTCTTGTCCTAGGACTCACAGGAGAGAAGGATGCCGCCGATGTCGTGCCAACAACCGCTCCAACAGTTGTGCCATCAGCGGCCCCTACATCTTTTGCAGCGACATTGGGTCTCCCTGACTACACACAGGAAGCAATCTTGAACGATGAGAACTCCCCACAGGCAAGAGCCTTTTCTTGGCTCATGGAGGATCCCAATTTTGAAACCTACCCTGACTGGAGAGTCCTCCAAAGGCTTGCTCTTGCAAGCTTCTACTATTCAACTGGAGGGCCCAACTGGTCTATCAATGACAATTGGCTGAATCATAGCCTGGATGAATGCAAGCACTGGTTCTTTCTGACTGAAACAGCTGGTGTGGACCCCAAAACCAGGGATGATATAATTAATGTGACATCCCCTTGTAACGCATCAGGGCGATATCAGTATCTACTAATGGGCGGCAAAGGCTTGACTGGGTCAGTGCCACGTGAGATTGGTATGTTATCTGAGCTGCTGATCTTTGACTTTGAAAAGAATTTCGGACTAGAATATAGCACAATTCCTTCTGAGATTGGACTGCTCACAAACCTGTTGAGAATGTCTGGTAAGTCCTTCCTTGATCACGGTATTCCAGTTGGCGAGGGGTGGCTCACAGAGAATTGCAACGCTTTTCTGCTACCAGCTGATCGAAACTACCTTGCTGGGACTGTTCCCACAGAGATAGGCTTGATGACAAGTATGGTTGAGTTGTATCTGGGCTACAACCCTTTTCCGTCAACCATCCCTACCGAAATTGTTAACATGCGTGAACTCAAGAAGATCAATCTAAACAGAGCAGGATTTACCGGGGCATTTCCTTCGGAGCTGTACACGCTCCCCAAAATGGAAGTGTTTCTTGTTCATGGTTTGCTTGGTATCACTGAAGCTACTTTGGAGGGTGTGTGGCAAATGACAGATTTAGAAGGATTCTATGCCCACAACCTTCCTTTCCACAATACTCCAATCCCCTCAGAGCTGGGACTGGCCACCAAGCTCCAGAGAGTGAACCTATGGGATACTGGTCTGACGGGAACAGTCCCTTCAGAACTCGCTAATCTGAGTGTATTGAGGGGAATTGACATTGATGACAACTATTTAACCGGTCCCCTCCCTGTCTTTCTACTGGAGCTCACAACCCATCAAATGATATGGTGGGAAGGGAACTTCTTCACTGGTACCTTGCCATCTCATGTCTGGGAGCACCTCCCCAGCCTCGAAACAGTTTTCCTCGCCGGGAATCTGCTCAGTGGGACGATCCCCACAGAAGTTGGACTAGCTCAGAGTGTTGCAGAGTTGTACTTGTATCACAACGCCTTCACAGGAACACTGCCGACTGAGATGGGAAATCTAACAACACTCAAGCACATGTTCATCCACAATACAGAACTCTCAGGAACCATTTCACCGGAGCTCAATGAGTTGCCCAATCTTGATATCATTTCTCTCTCCAATACCTTGCTGACTGGATCTATCCCAGAGCGCACCTGCAATCGATTGGCAGAAGTATCTTGGGGTTGCAAGCCCAGGTTTCGAGTAGTCACACCAATCTGCTATGATGTTGTGGAAGTGATGGATTTTAACTGTTCCAAGTCTTTGCTGTGTGGATGCTTGTGCAAAGCATGCCCAGACGACGAAGGGGCCACAACTGGTGGTTTTGTCTTCAACATGACATTTGATCCCTAGCTAGGCAGCTAGATAGTACTGCCGCCGGAGCGACCATCAAGGGCAAACAGGAGATTAATATTCTACAAAATATACATATTGCTCTTTGTGTAACTCTTCAGCTTGTAGCTCGGATATACGGGACGGGAAAAGTCGGCTCATACGTGGATGTTACATCGTTCTCCTCCCTTGAAAAGCAAATTCGGCATTGTTGCCATGCAGCAACTGGTTGATGATCTATCTGTTCCGGAATTAGTTAGATGGTTACCTCAGCAATACGAGCAGCATGGAACTACGGCAAAGGGTGGAAAGGCATACGGTATCGTTGGCCCAGCAAAGATAGATGTCTCTTTTGCAGGCTTGGCGCCTTTCCGTGCCCTTTTTGTCAGGGTAGGGATGGCTGGATCAGCCGCCAAGGCAACAAGGCACATGCGCTGGTGCTTGGATTTTGAAAGCGTTCACGTGTAGAAAACTAGCTAGTACAGCGCAACAAAGAACCGCTCCCTGTGGTTGCTTTCTGTGTACGGGTCTGGGTCGGTCTATTCGGCAACACGAGTGGTCATTGGTGACGATAGTAAGCAGCAATTATAGTTTATCTCTTGGGTGCATGCATGTGCGGGCTTAGTCCCAGTGATCATCAGTATTTTGTGTGCACTTCTTCCAAGGATTACTTTTCTCGTTTCGTTTGCATTCCTCCTATCGCCCATTGTTGTTGTTAAAAAACCAACGGCAAGCTCTTGATCCGACCAATCTCGCTCACTCGGCTTATTGTGTTGTCGTTGGGTAGCATAAGGTGGCATACGATAGGGTACAAAAAACGCCACCACGGCGAACCCCTCGGAGATTCTCCTTCGACGCATTGCACGGCATGTTCGTGTACTCCATCCGTCGGGACCAGATTGTCTCGTTTGATGCCGTTGAACCAGGCGTATTCATCGGGTTGCGACGTACACACAACCTGGGGTGGAGCAGCCACACTATCGTCGTCTTCTGTAAAAACCAAAAAGCACTCAATGGGCTTGTCTTCGTCCTTGACCGAATAGAACAGACGGCTGTTGCTGTTACTCGAGACTCGTCTCTTGGGGAGTGACGCTGAAAAGCCATGGACGGTCAGCAAAAGCGAAGAGACCACGAACGGCAAAACGAAAAAGCGAGGAATCATCATGGTGAAGAAATTCGCAGTTGGTTGGATGATTTAAAAGAGAAGGGTAGATTATCTTTTGTGGTTGGCTCTTTTGTTTTGTTTGTGAGAATGTTTGGTTTGGTTTCTCGAAAGGATCCGAGTTCGACAGAACGCAGAATGCAGCTTGGCTTCTTGATCTTTGGCATGCCAGCAAGGGTTATCTCTGCATTCTTTCGTTCTTTCAGCTGGGGAAGGAAAAATCATGTCAACCCCAATCGTGCTTGGATGTCAAACCGGCTGACGTGTTGTCAAATCGCTATCCTTACTGTAGATACCATTTGGTGTTATGCGTTGAACAACCGTTGCGCAGGTTTGCTTGCGATCCCGCTCCAGTATGCACGGACATACGTACGGTACCTACTACTAGTAGTACATACCGGTACCTGCATCGCAGATGGTTGTTCCTTGAAGCCTTTTAGAATGATTCACTTAATTAAAACAAAGGACTCCTTTTTAATTAACTCCAAGAAGTTCGAGTGACAGTCGTGAAGTCGTGAACTCTCTCTTTCTCTTTGGAAAGCTACTGTAAGTATACTATATAATAATTTAATACGTTTGAAGCGTCCTTTAAGTAAAAATTACTGGGGACAGTAAAGAATAGGAAAGTTCAATCGTCCCCTAATAAGTTGCTCTTCTAATCGTTCATAAACTGTGATTTGACCATTAAATAAATACAAATGAGATATAAGGGGCTGAGTCACAGTTCTCGTGATCTCTCTCCACGGGAACCTTACAAGGTATCTGAGCTGAAACTTTCTGTAACCGCTACAAGGCCGTGCTTCCCCGCCACCAAGCCAAGGAGATCCTTTTGCAGATGCGCGCAACTGATGTCTCCAAGTGGATCAATGATAGGGGATAGAGCACTCAGCTGAGCACTTTCACCATCATATTCTTTGTGGCTGCTAGTTTAATTGTAACACCCATTAGCCCTCTAGCTAGCTAGCAAAAGGAAGGTTACGACAATGACGTCTCAAGCACAACCTGTCGTTGTGGACAGCAGCAAAGGAGACGATGATTTGCTGCACATCTTTGCGGCATCCTCTGGAACTTCTGATGATGGTCTCAACGTCAATGCTGAAAAAGACGCTGCCAGGAACAGTGTTGGTGCAGCTCTTGCCACGGGCGAGGCGCAGCCCATAAGCGAGGCGAGCACTGCTTCTGGCACGTCAAAAGATAATCCTGCTTCTGGCGCATCCGAGGATATTCCAACAAAAGAGGGGAAACAACTAGCAAGCCCGGGCGTTACAGTAGGGTTGCCTATAGAGAAGGTTGATGACCGCCAGAAAGGAAAGGAGAAGGCCGACAGCGACGACCGCCGGAAAGACAAGGAGAAGACCAAAGTCGGGACTCCGTCCAAAGCTCAGGATGACCACCTGCATCCAGCGAGCTCCAATACCAATGCTCCAGGACTTCCCCCACTCCCCTTACAACGCGGCGTCAATATGCCAAACTCGAGGCCCGGAGCAGTGGCGATTGGTGGTTTTGGAATGATCACCCCTGCTGGTACTTCTATTTCTCGACCGGCTCAGGGAAGTTCGTATCAGCCGTATGGGGCGGCAACAGCAATGGAAAATGACGGCAGTATGGCACAAGCACGCCTCGTGGACATGGACGAGGAAGGCAACATCCAAAATGCGGATCCAGTGGAAGAAGGGGCCCTACGTCTATCCATGGGGGGTTCTAACAAGGGCAATGTGGAAGGGAGAGAGGCGTGCAAAACTGTACTCTTGATTGCTGTTATTGGGTTTATTGTACTTGCTCTTGTCCTGACTCTGAGAGGTGGCAACAAAGAGGAGGATACTTCTAATGGCATACCAACAATGGCCCCAACTGGGGCACCATCGTTGGCCCCAACTGACTCCCCTACAATGTATGCAGTCACGTTGGGACTCCCGGACTACTCAGTGGACAAAATCTTGAAGGATGAGACCTCCCCCCAAGCCAGAGCTTATTCTTGGATCATGGACGATCCCAATCAGGAACGTTACCCTGACTGGAGAATCCTTCAGCGGTTTGCTCTAGCAACTTTCTACTATTCCACTGGAGGGCCCAGCTGGGATATCAGCGACAACTGGTTGAATCATAGTCTGGATGAGTGCAAGGACTGGTTCTTTCGAACTGAAACAGATGGTCTGGATGTTGCAGCGAGGGATGACAAGATCTTTATCACTTCTCCATGTGATGAATCTGGGAAGTATCAGTATCTGTTGATGGCTGGGAACAATTTGGCTGGGAGGGTCCCAGAAGAAATTGGTATGCTGTCCAGCTTGCTCATCTTTGATTACTTCAAAAATGATGGTCTGGAAGGGAGCACTATCCCTACAGAGATTGGCCTGCTCACCAATCTCTTGAGATTGTCAGGTAAGTCCACTCATGATCCAGAAAGTGCATTGTTTTTTAGCAGATCTCTGACCAATAAGGGCTATCCATCTTCTGAATATCAGCTGACCGAAACTTCCATGGAGGGAAGCTTCCTACAGAGATTGGCATGATGACTAGCCTGATTGAGGTGTACCTTGGCTACAACCCTTTTCCATCACCCATCCCTTCCGAAATTGCCAATATCCAAGGTCTACAAAAGCTCAATCTGAACAGAGCAGGATTCACTGGGACTGTTCCTTCTGAACTCTTTACCCTGACCAAAATGGTAGAATTTTTCCTCCATGGTCTTCTCGATATTGAAAATGCTACCTTGGAGGGCATTGGGCAAATGACCGACTTACAAGCATTCTATTTTCATAACCTTCCCCTCCACAATACTCCCATTCCTACAGAGCTTGGTTTGGCCACCAAACTTGAGAAACTGAACTTATGGGATACAGGACTCACTGGGACTATCCCTTCTGAAATGGCCAATCTGAGCGGTTTGAAGCGACTGGATATTGATGACAACCGGTTGACAGGATCCCTCCCCGATTTCATATGGGAACTTCCTTTGTTGCAGGAGATCCTGTATGATGGAAACTTCTTCACAGGAACCCTGCCATCTCATGTCTGGCAGAATCTGACTCTAATGGAGGGCCTGGCCTTCAGTGATAATTTACTGAGCGGGTCCATCCCTACAGAGGTTGGACTTCTTCCAAGCATCCAAACACTTCGCTTTGACCGCAACGCATTCACAGGAACCATACCAACAGAGATTGGAAATCTGACAACACTTGAGGAAGTGTTCTTCCATGATACCCACCTTGAGGGCAATATTCCGTTGGAGTTTGAGGACTTGCTCTTTCTTGAGACCATTACATTTTCCAATACTTCACTCACTGGTTCCATCCCAGCTGGTATCTGTGACAGTTTGGTGGATATATGGTTCAGTTGCCACACCAAGTTTGGCATTACTTTGCCAACCTGTACCGTAGTTGAAGTGGAGGACTTTGACTGTGCATCTTCTCTGCTCTGTGGGTGCTCTTGCAGTGCTTGTGCAGTGACAGGGACTGGTTTTGTGTTCAACAGAACCTTGGGTCCATAGATATATAGTAATCCAGTAAAATGTACTTTGTATAAAAACATTGATCTCATTGGTGGTAGAAAGTACATAGGCTAAGGTTCAGAGGACTCACTGTATTGCGATTCTGTTGGAGAAAATACATAGCATGCTTGGCTGCTTCTTGGTGGCGAGAGGCATCATCATTAGGACGCTTGGTTGGACGAAAAGCCACAGGTTCTTCTACTCCACCAGTTGGTGGTAGCTCTAGCGCAGCGAACGCATCAGGAATTCCATCGGGAGGGTTGCATTCCCCAGTGATGGATTCTACTTCCCAAGGGAGCAAAGGAATGTGTTCGGCCTGCCACCATTCCTCCTCCGTAGTTTGTCCCTCCAAGGCTGACTGCAAGTTTGTGTATTCTCCTTTTGGTTTGCTTTCTGCAGCAGTACAGTCATACTTTCTGAGTTTGTTCCTGTGTTGAGATTGCTTGCTGTGGCGTGGCGTGGCGTGGCGTTGCTGTTGTAGTCTTCTTTCAACTTCTCACTCATTGTACCTACGGCTACGGCTACCAGTATCGAGATGTCGCAATGAGGAAAACTGCCTCTCGGAGCAATGATGCCTATATTGCTACGGTACCAGCAGAATTGATGACATGGCCATAGCAGCGTTGCCTGTCATGGTTGTACAGTCTGACGGATGGATGGATGGATGGATGGACGAATGGATGGATGGACGAATGGGTTGGTGGATGCATGCGCATGGGTGGGTGGGTGGGTTTGTTTGTTTCAAGAACGGAATGACAATGTGGTTAGAGTGTGGGTGCGGTGGGTGGATCCGGCAGGTTGATCCGAGCTTCTAAGATGATGGTTGAACTCTAGCTAGCTAGTACCATGAATTGGATAAGCTATCCATGCCATCAGCAACATGACATGACAGGCAGAACCATCGCAATAAATAGTTGGTGCTGTTTGTGCGACGACGATCGAGGCAGGACCGGTGGTACCACCACAGAGCTTAGTCGAGTCAGTCCTCATGTCCTCATGCAGTCGAGTGACAGTCAAGCCTGTGTTCTTTCTAGCGACGGGACAGTTTGTGATGAGAGAGGAAGGTAAAACTTGAGCACGAGCTGTGTTTAGTTCGTTCGCTGAATTCTATTCTAACAGCCTTGCCGTCTAAAATAAATGAGGTCACGAATGACATTTTTTGTGTCACATAGTATTTAACGGACCATGTGGCCATCATTGTTTAATTAGCAGTACCGTTTTAAGTGTCAGTAGTTAAGAATAGTTCCAATAATAAGGGGTAATTCGGAATTAGACGCTCCCAATCGATTTATCACCGAGGACTTTCGGGTTTTACAACCTTGAGTGGTCAAATTAACCCCTGTCACTAGCAAATTGTGTTTGTGCCTTCTTTCATAGCTCTTAAATTCCTTCCTCCTCTCTTGGTCCTCGACTGAAGATCAATTGTCACTCATCAGCTCACTCATCATCACAAAACAACAAGAAGCAAGGCAAGGCAAAGCAACAAGATGGTGTCGGTTCGTCGAGTGGCATCGTCCAATACACTGCGATCACGTCGCAAGAGTTTCTGCCGGAACAATGAACGATTGGTGCGAGGCTTGGAGATTGCCTTGTTGGTGTTTCTAGGGGTTCTGTCGATCAAGCAGTTTGCTCTGTTGATTTCCAGCAGCACCTTTGCAAGTCGTCGCAACAGTAGTACCACCAACGATGCCATTTTGCCACGGTCATCAGATTCTACGAGCACGCCGAGCATGAGCATCCACATGAGCAACCTCTCTTCCTCATCAGCCTCCTCACCAGCATCAAACACTCCTTTGGACTCTGTGGGTCATCCACAAGACACATCTTCATCATCTAGTAGTATGGTGACAGTCCTACTGGATCGTCTGCGGACGTCTCGACACACACTGGAAAGTGACCTGCAGAAACTGTACGGCCCTCACTACCAAGATCTCTTTGAACCCTTTGACGCACAAGCCAAACAACGGGTCGGAATTGGTCATCACTTTCTCTACAAGTCACCTACGCAACTGTCGACGGATGATCAAGGATTCCATCGTCCCACCAATTCGACTACTAGCAGTAGTAGTACTGGTTGGAACCGCCTAGTGCGCAAACTCCAAATCAAACTCCTCCACGTGCTGCTCCAGCAAGACGAACGACGGCACTTACAGCAAAGTCAACAACAACCACCACAAAGCAGAATTACCTTTTCCTGGGTCACCACCGGCAATGGCCAAGCCAGTGGATCGGGCAATCTGTTTCACGAGTCGTATACATCCGTCTTACAATCGGCACTCGCGCCCATTTGGCAGAGTGTCGGCATGCACTTTCGTGCTCGCAATCATGCCATTTCCAGGCTCTCGTCGGGGGATGAATATGCCCTCTGTTTGCCACAACTCATTGGCATTGACACTCAAAAGCAGGATGTGGTCTTTTGGGATTTTGAAATGACCGACGAAAAGGATTTTTGGAAACTGGCATTGTTTTCGCATCGCATGGCGCACATACAACAAAGTGAAATGCCCGCCTTGGTGGCGTATCATCGACTGAAGGAGCATACATCTCTGTTGGCCCAACTGGAACGCAAGGGCATGGCCGTGTTGGGCAGAGATGTGACGGTCCAACAGACACGACAACACGCTGCCATTCCCGATTCGACCAAATTGGGGAATCGAGCACTCCTGTCGGATCATTTGAAATATTTGCGATGTGGCAAAGAATTGGAAGATGGAGGACCTCAAGTCACCAAACCGGGTGGAGCTGGAGTGCGCAAAAAGCTGTGTCGACTGTACAAGTTCAATACGGATGTCTGTCCGGATCGACCCCACAAGTATATATGGCATCCCGGATGGAAATTCAATGCCCTCAAAGGATATACACTGGCATTGACCATGGTGGAACTACTGCAACAGGCACTGGAACAGTTGGCACAACATAATCAACAACAACAGACACACATGTCCAACAATGATGATTGGATGCAACAACACTTGAAACAACTGCAACAAGAGGAACTAGCCGATGCCGCACTGTTTCGGGCACCCACCAACATTCCCACGGGAGTCTCCTCCAAATGGTTTCATCAAGAAGCGGAACAACAACAAGTCGACGGATTTCTCAACACACTCTTTCGACAACCCGCCATGTGTCGCACCGCTCTATTGCCATCTTACAGTCGATTTCTAGACAACAAGAACAAGAACATGACATTAGCACTAGTCAAAAAGAAAAAGAAGAACATGGTCACCACACCCTACGGAGATGTCTACGAACAGGGAGTCCTCTTTTCCAAAATCAAAAAGTACGAAACGGATACCACCAATCAACAAAATCAACAACAAACTGGTGGATACCGCTATGCCGAACTGGAACGAGCCAATGACATGGTGCTCGTCACGGAGAAAGCAGATAACTATGATTGCCCTCAAGCACCACTGGCAATCGATCATCAAGATGCATTCATGGTCACCAGTGCCATGGGATGGAGATCCCTCACCATACCAGCGCCTACTACTACGACTAATGACAACAACAATGACAATAAGGGCTGGCTTTTCATGTGCCTCTCGGTCTGTGACAATTCCAAATGCCCAACGAATGACTTGCACGATCGAGTCTGTCAAAAACCCTTCAAAAAGGAGGAGAATCCCACTGCCATGCTGCGGCAATATGGTACCGTGGAATTCCAAGTCAATGGGATTCCCGTCGTCGATACATCTCCTCTCATCCACAACAAGTACTCGCATTTGGACAATTGTCGAGCGCTACACAACAATGGGACTGCCTACAATTATTGGCAACCCGACGCGACTGGATCCTACACGCTGTCAGCACGCATCACTGGAGCTTCCAAGTGGTCCTATCTCAAGATTAGTTCCGTCATTGCCATGTGAGTGCATGTGTGTGAGTACTGTAACGCCCATGCAGCAAAGCAAAATGACACGCAGAGAAGCATCCGTCGAGGCATCGGTAGCTTGCACCAAAGCTGAGGCGTCGGTCGCTACGGTACCTCCATCGAGGCATCGGTCTCTACCGCGATTGCCCGGGGAGGAAGGCAGACTTGCCTGGGAAGCGGTTTGGCAATATGCCATTCAACCCAGCCAGAGATTGGACCATGAGGAACGCAAAAGCAGTCCTCTACCTGGCCTGGTCCTCTGGTACCGCACATACCTGAACAAGATGTTTGGGGTTACAGTCTAAATCCCTGCCAGCATCTACCTGTTTTTGCTACATGTATGTATTATCTAGCTAGACTGTAAATATAACATCAATATCAACAGCAAAAAGTGGAGCTTACACTGCTAGCAGTGCCGTATGATGATATGCTACCGGTACAGATATCTTATTCTGAAAAGGAACTCAGCCATCTCACCAGCTGTGGATACATATATTTCTCCACGAGGACCCCGTGGCAGTCTCTAGCGCGATTGCCCGGGGAGAAAGGCAGACTGCTATTCTACAAAGTAGCTCCTTCTTCCTTTCTACTTGAGTCCAGTCTTCTTTTGTTTGGATTATTTTACAATCATTCTTGTTCCTCAATTTCTTGCCCCTGATCCCACAGAACCAAGTCCTGAATTTCGACTGTTCTTTGCTTAAGCCTGGCCCCGGCTGGCTTCCGTAGATAATTTCCCTACTCTAAACCCCCCCCCGAAATCTTCTTGTTTCTCGTGCGATTGTTTCTATTTTACTCTGCCTTCGTGGTTGGTTGGTCCTTCCAGTAAAGTTCTGGTTGTATCATTCCCTCGTAAAAGTACTGGTACATATCGCGAATGTCCAAGAGTAGAGAAATCGAGTTGACTGTGATCACACCTGCTAGCCAAAACATGAGATAGCTCTCTGGTACTACCGCTCCAGTGGCCAGACGAAAGGCGAGCCATGGGACGAGAGCGAGCCAGAAGATGTGTGCCAATCCCAAGAGCTTGGTAAATCCGCCGTAGTACTGGTATAGAAAGGTCATGAGCAAAACGCCCATGTTGAGGACGGCAAAGATGACTTTTGTCTCCAAGACACTCGGAAAGAGGAGGATTCCTCCGATGTTAAACGACACGAGGGTGATGATCCAAATGCGCAAGAATGGAGGAAACTTCAAGAGCATGATCCCCACCAATTCCATCATGGCGCGAGGAAGGCTGGAGGTTGTAGGTGACATCATTGTTGATTTCTTGATGTGAGTTTACTTGTGGGTTGCCTTGGGTTTGGTATGGAGCGTATGTTGTTAGTTTTGTGAGAGCCTGTAGAGGGATCGTAGCGTTGAAGCCGATTTAGGGGGGGAAGGCACACCCCGAGGGGGAGGAGGGGAGGAGGAGAAAGAGGAGGAGTTGGTCAGAATTCCAGGTTCCGCGAGTCGGCTGGCTCCGTACCACAAACGTCATCCACCATGTCTGAAGAACATGAACTCAATTAAGGTAAGAGGGGGTTTTGGCAAGAAACCGGGGGGTGGCGATAACTCTTTGAGTATACGGTATTCGATATGTCAGCAGCAGGACGGCTCTCACATTCAAATTTGGCTACTAAGATTATGGTTTCTACTCAACTTTTTTTCCTTCTCGCCCTCTCCTTTTCCTTTCCTACTCCCTTTCCTCCTCTCCTTACATCGAATATCCGTGCAACCGATAACGACACAATTCATTGTGTGGTGGACGACCTCTGCGATGGGTTAACCAATGGCAGTACTTTACGCAGCATCCTCTTGGTGGAGGCCGATAGTAGGATGGAAATGCTTGCATTGGTGGCAAGGGATAAGCAAAGAACATGGGCTGGGCCATTGTTATCGCCGGTGCAATTGGTGTCATGTGTGTCATGGGAGCTGGTGGTGGAGGAGGTGCTGGAGCAGCTACTACTCGCACAGTTGGCGCCGGTGGTTGCTGTTGGATTTGAATCGGCTGTTGGCGATGTTCGTTGTTGTTGTTGCTGTTTGTATTTCAGCCCTGCGCAAGGGCAGCTGCATTGTCGTTGTTATTTGTTGGTGGTGGATTCAAATTCGAATTTTCAACTGTCACATTTTCAATTTCCATTTGCACCGTTGAGCGATGGCACAAATCGCAAACACAATGGTCTCCATCGAATGCTTGCCTGGTTGGTTGGTAGACTGTTATGTACTGGGAAAAGAAGCGCTCGCCATTATCTTCTGGCAATATTTCGAGGTTGGAAAAGGGGGCAATGGTGGCACCCACCGAAGTGGCCATGTCATTAACAAATCGCAACTGTGTGTGGTTCCAATAAGGTACGACTTTTTCCCAGGAGTATGGCAAAGACCTTGGATCATCTCTTGTAAGTGCTAACAATGCCCTCTTGTGACGGATCTGAAGGTTGTACCTTGCGGTGCCACAAAGGTTGAGGCTGTCACAGAGCGCTGCTCGCATTCCTCCATTTCCGAAGTGAGCAAAGCAATCGTGGAATCCTTCCAGTTTTGACTCGATGAGGTTGTGCTTTGCATTCTTACCGGGTTGGATTTTGTCGTACATATCATCCAAAGGCATCGGATCCAATAGATGATGGGCTTTTTCTTTGCAATTCTGCAGGGCCTGTTCAGTGTCACTGGTAAAAAGCGACATGCCCTTGACTGGGTCCTTGCACTGCTTGTACTTTGCCAACCACTCATCAAGTTTCTGCTTCATCGTCTCTGGTTCTAGGAACTGTTTTCGCAAATACTTCGAGTACCGATCTCTGAATGTCTTGGTTCCCTGTAAATCCGCGATGTCCTGTGAAGAATATCGCCTTCCAGACAAGGTGCCATCCTTCAGGGCTGTCAACAGATTCTCATAGTCTTCGCTGGAGTACACATAAATGCAGGTCAACAAGTCATTGATGGCTTGGGCAAAGAACGAGTGGTGCTTTCGTAATGTTGAAGTGATTCTTTTTTCAAAATGGAAGAGCCCAAGTCGACCTTCTGCATCCGGAAAGAGAGTTTCCCAATACTCTTTTTTGTTTGGCCATGTGTCGCTGTACATGGCTGTAGGTGAGAAATCAGGCCTCTTGCTTAACTGGAAGGCCGCACGAGAAAAGTGTTTTGTCTTGGTGCTTGGAACCAGAACAGCCGTGGCGATCTCACCAGTGTGCGTGCCAACATCCCACACAGCAACAGCACCAAGCGATTTCTGGTAGTTCTTCACAACTTGAAAGGTATGGTCCTGTGCAAAGATGCTATTACATTTGACACTTTGAATTTCTCTTGTGTGCCGGTCGTTCTCACTGATACCCCATCGGTTATTCTTTGAAGCAGACGCCTCCAAATAAAGGTCGCGAATGGAGTTACCGAGTGGAGGAAAGAAGCGAGCAAAGGAACCATCTTTGACTGGAAACGGCTTGTCTGATTTGCGTCCGGTCTCCTTCAACAAAGAATAATATCCGGTGACATGGAGAAGGTAGTCCTTATTGATAGCATTGAAGAGTAACTTAGAGCATAACTCCCCATTTCCATACGTGACTGTTGGTTGCTAGTAACACTCTAGCTTAGTAAAGGTAAAATACTGTTTTACTGTTAAGCTATTTCCAAGAAGTGATCTTTCTCCATGTTTTCTGGGATTGATTCAACTTCAAAGGATATAGTGAAGGGGGTGACCATATAGATCAGTTAAACTCCCCATGTATGTAACTAGAGAATAGATATAGATATCCCCTATAACTAGATTGGGATAAACGACTAATTTGCATTGAGGTGTCTGTAATACAACCTCCAACACACTCCTGCACGGTTCCATAAAGGATACCGTGGAACGAATAATTAATGTAATGATGGTTGCTCCATAAGGAACAGTTGTTGGTCGAGGGAGACCAATTGCTAGCACTGGGAATGAAAAACTCTGCAGAAACGCCCTTTTTGAGTCCGCAGAAACACTTTTTTTCCTGAAGCAGGCTGGCGTGCACTCTGCAGAAGCCCTCGAACTCTGCAGTTCCGAAAGCCGGCATGGCTTTTTCTGCCGGGAGGTGGTTTTTTCTGCAGGGAGGTTGTTTTGTTTCTGCCAGGATTTTCTCTGGCAGTGCTTTTTTTCTGCCAAAAGCACTGAAAACTCAAGAATGGCTCGCAGAGTGATTCATTGTTTGGCAGAGGGATTTATTGGTGCAATTATCGTTTGCAGTCTTTACAATTACTATAGACTGGATACCATGCAGGCGTGACGAAAATAGAGCAAATAAATAGCAAGATCGTTTTTGAAATCTAAGGCTGGCGATGACATCATTGACATTTAATGCACCGGCACACTTTGGACCTAAAGCCCTAACGTCTCTCCATGCAAAACAGAACCCCATCTAACTGTCCCATTAACCAGACTCTAAAACGAGACCCTTTGAGCGAGGGAAATGACTCAGATATACCACCACATACATAACATCAAATCGCAATTCCAGAGATCCTAATCTCGATTCACGTAATACGCCATTACTACTCCTATGGTCAGCCCACACTAGCCTCATATTAGCAAGCGATGCAAACGAGATCCCATGATGAGTGGCCCATGGTTACCGTGCCTTGGAAAAATCCTGGTTGCATGTGTCATATCCTCCTCGCCTCGGTACTTGGTGGAATGATCGTGATATGTGCAGGAAGTAGCTTGTATTTATTCGATTATTCACAAATACCGGCCAAAGATGACGGGCACGTCCCTTAGCGATCACGGTGTGGATATAATCAAACTCAACGCGTATACATCGCGCAACTTTTTTTTTCATACCTCTCTTGGTAGAATACCTCTGCTAGTTGGCCAGAAGCAACTCATCATGGTAATGGAACCTTCCGGTTTGGGATAACATGCTGGATGCTTCTCTCGGGGCTTTTAGCCGTGCCTATCTCTGCACCGTTGTAGCATGAGACGATAGGAGCGCGATGATCAACGGCGATTGGCGAGAAATACCTAGCGAGCGGGTTGCCTTATGTCATTGTTCGGATTAAAAAGAAAGGGTTTTCCAAGGGTGGGCGCCATATAGTCATGATGAAAGAGCATCCTACAAGAAGTGACTTTTCCGCGGACATCCGCGGGCTAAGTTCGCCCTTTCGAATGGGTCGGCTTAGGCCCCATCTCAATGGTTCTCGACCGCCTTCGGGCCACAGGTCCGATTGTGTTAGCCCGCATTAAGGTCAGGGCAACAACACAAGAAGAAGGGAACTCACTGCGCGGCACTTGCCCCTACCAGTCTAGTGAACAGCCTCCATGAAAATGAATCCTAATTCACTGAGAGCAGTTTATAATTACATTGCTCTGTTTTTGTGAGAACTCTACACGCTTCCCTTACTATGGGTTCCTTTGATTAGGACAATCACCTTTATTGTCGTCCGATCTCCATCTTCCAGAACGACTGCCTGCTCCTCACTTGCCACATTTATACGATGGGATTCAGTTACCTCTGGTTACCCTTAAGGGGCGACAGCTGATGACCTCATCTGGCAGTCCGATATGAATCTGCAATATGTCAGGATTCGGCAAATCGAATGCTAATGGTTCCGAATCGAACCGTACTCCAAGTACTCGATACTCGTGGAGGTCTATCGAATGTTCGCCGCGCATAGCCTTGCTCCTGCTGCGTGAAATGACTGTCACCTCTTCGCTCACGGGTAACGCTCAGTGCTCCTATGCATTGGCACCGAAAGTGGACTTCATCGCATGATATCCTCTGCCAGTGTACGCTACCACGCAGAAAATAACACCACCTAGAATTGTCTTTCACTTCTACAACGCCAAGGTTCACCTACTCAGTTCAGATGTGTCTTTCTTCTGCAGCGACGATCCTTGGTTAGGAACTGATCCCTACATTGACTCCTTAACCCTGTCCATAGATCCCTACTATCGCTGACGCCTCGATAGGGAATTGATGCTAGACTCAACACCTGCTTACTGTTTGTAAGACCCACTCCAATTGATATACTCTAACTCGCGTGGGCCCCAAATGAGGACCAGCAAAAGGCTCAAAGACTTACCTGCCTATTCATATCTCTCTGGGATAGTGTTCCCTGTAAGTGGTCGGTCGTAGTGTGACTCTATCCAAACGCTTGGGTGCGGCGTTATATTCTCTGCTTTTTTCGGGAAGGCTGAAAGGAGTACTGATGATGGTACGTTCATACATTCCAATATGTAAGACAACCGGGGTGGCTATATGGCTTCGATCCAAGCCTTTTCCTCTCCCTTTTCGAGTATGCTATACCTGGGAAGACTGTTT